TCCTCTCTCCAGCGAGCCTCGATCGAATCCCATGTTAGCACTGCGTCCGTTTTATGTAGCGTTTCGCAGTATATTTTGCCGGTTATCGCCAGATTTGCGCACACCTCTCGGAGCTTGGTCGTTGAGTTTGGTAGATTATGTATAAATCTTTCCACACTTATAATACATGGTGAACAGAAGATCGTCTCTTCCAAAGAGTCTAAAAAAGGTATACAGTGTATCAAACAATTGTGTACACGGTACAACGGCGCTTCATTCAGCATTGAATAAATTCTTGGTTGTTAAAAGTTTAACACTGAAATTTGCATATGTAACTCAGAATATAATACGGAATCTAATTTTCGTTGCAAATTTCTTGCCAACCAATTATTTCAGCGTGAACTTAGGCATACGTCCGAGAAAAACAAAACATTGCACCAAAAAATTGAGTATACGTTAGAAGTTTACTTTAAACATTTTCATTTTCTTGAGGTCCAGTCTTCGGTAAGCTAAAAATTATAACTAACAATAGTCTATTGTTGCTGAAAAAAGAACTTTCATTAAGAATTTTAATAAGGTAGATGACAGGGCTTAGTCAAAATGGCGAGACGTGAGGTTTGTCGTGATGATCAAATAAAATTATTCCTCTTCACCAGGAAAGACTTAACTACGACAATATTAGTGAAAAAACAAAACATCATAAGTCAATAATTGCCAAAATTATCAGCAAATGGATAGCCACTGGCTGAGTGGTAAATCGGAAAGAGAAAGATCGAAAAATGAAAAAACTTCGCTCATTTGGACAAAAGAATTGTCATAAAGAGATGTCAAGCAGAGGGATATCTGCGACCAAAATGTCTCCGGAAGTTAACCAAGGGTTAGATCTTTCCATTAATCCACAAACAGTGAGGAACAGACTGCAGGAACATTTTTTAAATACCCTAGGGACAAGGGAAACCATTCATTTCAAACCGTAATCAAGGCCTGGGCCCGAAATGGGCTAGGGATCACAGCGCTTGGACAATTAACGATCGGAAACATATCCTGCGGACAGACGAGATCAAGGTCAAGTTCTTTGGGGCACATTGATTTGTTCGTGTGTGGAGAAAGACTAATGGAACACTAAATCAGTAATGCATCCATAAGATACTAAAGCATGGAGGTGGTTCCGTAACGGTTTAGGGTGCATATTGTGGAAAAGGGTTGCCAAATTACATTGCATCGGCCGAATTATGACTAAGGAATTCAATCTGATCATTTTGAAGTAAAAATTGACCCCAACCTTTCGAAACCTGAGAATTCGGGGCGATTACTATTTTCAACAAACCTCGGACCCCTAACATATGTGAACATAATGTCAAGGTGGTTTGAAGACAAGAAGGTTAAAACACTTCCCTGGGCACTCAAATCACCGGACTTAAGTCCCAATGAACATTTATGGTCAGAACCGCAACACAAAATTTCCAACAGGTCTCCATCTAGCAAGGATAACTTAAAGACCATTATTGCGGTTGCATTGGAGGATGTAGACCCAGATTTTCCAAAAAAATTGTTGGAATCCATTTCCAAACGAATTCAAGTTGTTATTATTGGTAAAAGTGGTTCACCACGCTATTGGATTAAATTTGTTAACTATAAAAACACATCATTATCATACCGTGTACTCATTTTTTTTACTTCATATTTACAGATTTTAGGGTTGTCCATTTATTTCTGGACAAACGGACTGATATATCGAAAAATGCTTTACAGCATTGGATTCAGCATTAAATTTACTATTCTATAGTAAACTTTCTGGATATTATTAATTGCCCTGGAATAATTTGTTAGCATGGAAATGAAGAGCCGTTGTACCGTGGACTCAATTGTTTGATACACTGTACATTTCGTTATATAATACTAATTTGGTGCGACAAGATGCAGTGAAACACTGGAAACTACTTTCAAAATATACTCCCAGACTCTCAGGTTGCACTTATGTATATTCTTAGAAATCCAATCTTAAAACAATACCAAAGCATTATTCATCTATATTATAAGCTGGAAATCTTTGTCTGCAACGGAAGTGAAAGTAATTTTCCGACACGGAAGTGAAAGTGGAGAAAGTAAAGTTTCGAATGGCCCGAAACAGACATTTCCAGCTAATTATATATGTAAATACAAATACCACAAAAAATTAATTATGTGGAATTATGAACAATCCCACTAAATTTTCATGATAATCAAATCAACTCTCGCCCAGCGGGAGACGGGCTTAAACGCTAGTATATTTATAAGTCAACAACGTGGTATTGACAAGTAGTACGTTATAGGAATGTGTAGGTCAAGATTAAAATTTGGCAATATCGGTAGCCAATTTTTACGCATATGTATGTATAAGTTTAATACCAAGCGGTAGCAAATTGAATACTGGTAAATTTATGCGTGCGTGAGTATAGATTTTTAATAGCGATGTTTTACAATGTATAATGTCCTGAAATTATTTAAAAATCACGACACCTGGTAATATGCAGGAGTCAGAGTTAGTACTAGTTTTTGACAACCAGAGCTGGGAAATTAATGAGTTTCGAGATTAAAAATTAAGATTTGAGATTAAAAATCCCCGAATCAGAGATTAAGATTAAGATTAAAATTATTCTTCCGCTACTAAATTAAATTATTAAGATTAAATTAATCTATTTTTATGACACAGATTGAAGATTAAAGATTAATTAATCTAGATTAATATAATAGTCATTAAGAATTATTTTATTTTATCGCCGTTTTTTATAGTTTACATTGATATTATAATTATATCGTAAATTCTAAAATTTGAGAAAAGTATGAAGTATCGGTGCTTCAAAATTGTTATTCAAAATTATTAAACTTTTATCAGCTAAATTTAAGGCGAATACAATAACTTGTAATACGAGTAAAAATTAGTCTCACCTCAAATGCAACGCGTTTTTAAATTTCAAAAAATAATAGCTCTTAATTTTTTTTAATTAAATTAATTTTTTAATGGTAGCAAATTTTTTAATCTTTTTAAAGAATACAGTTTTAAATAACGTTACTTTCAAAAAAGGGAACCTGTCAGAAATTTAGAATTGTTTTGATTTTTAAAAATGGTTCCAGTGTTGAAAGACGATCGTGCGTTGAAATTTAGAGATTTACAAGGAGTCGAGTAACAGATGGCGTGATTTTAATCATAATATAAATCGTGATTAAAATTAAAGTCGAAGATTCAAAGATTAAAAATTAAAAATTAAATTAATTAAATTGACTTGTGAGATTAAGATTAAAATTATTGATTAATACGATCAAATTTCTTGATTAAAATTATGGATTAAGATTAATTATTCTTAATCTTAATCTTAATCTTGATTATTTTAATCTAGATTTTCCCAGCTCTGTTGACAACATGTATGTACATATGTATATACGTACGTATACAATCACAACTTAATCATAAAACATCGACAATAAGGTACCCAATGCAAGTAGGTTTGCATGTGTGAGTTTGAGCAGAATCATTCTTTCTTCTGACGCGAACTTGCTCACTTAAAAAACAACCTTCTAAAGAAATACCAACAAGGTATGCCCAATTTTACTAGAAAGAGGAAGAGAAAAAAAATACGGACGAGCTACTAAAATGTTTCATAATTCCCACTTCTTACTCGTCTGTCTTTTGAGCGCAAAATATTTTGCAAGATTAGAAACCGTATACTTACAATTTTTTCATTACAATACATTAAATGACTAGATACAAAATTACTACAGGTAAAATAAAAGTGCGACGTTTTTTAGAGAGATGCGCTCTGATGATATCAACCATGCAATAAATCTAGCACTAATTTTTTACGATTTTTAGGTTAGGGCTTTTTCTAAATTAAGGTTGGGGATTTAAAATGTTCGGCTCCTGCGTAATCAGCTTATACTAATTTATGATGGTCATCTATATATTTAAACTGTGCGAATAAAAACGCGGCTTTACTCATGATTAATAAAATAAACATGCATAAGATATATTTTGTATTTATTTAAAATCCACATCTCTAATATGGGTAACACGGAAAGATGTACATACATAAGCACGTATCAAGATGTAGATGCCTAAATCTCTCGGTCACGTACCCCAATCTACAGATCCACCAGTTCCCATATGCCGATTTTACTCGACATATCGCACTACGTCATATTGTCGATAGATACATACTCAAATTGGAATTTGCTTCACTCAAATTTAATCATTTATGTATGTAGTGGGCAATCCTCAGGGTTTCGTATATATCACATTGCCACTACATATTTATTGATATCACTGATACATATGGCATTAATTGTCATCAATGAATGAAATACCATTAATTGAAACTACATATGACATGTTTGATGTTATGCGCCATATACTTATTGTGACAATTATGTATATGCACTCAAATAACTTTATAATTAGTAGGATTTAGTTGGACTTGATTTTCTGAAAACGTTCATGTGCAATACCTACTTATAACCAGTTTTTCAAGCACTTAGCTTGCAAGGCATGAAAACCATTCAAATCGCGTCAAGCAATGCTGCCTCGTATTTTAGAAGCATCAGTCCCCTTAGGGGATGATGATGTATATAAAAATTTTACAAAAATAGGTTCAGAGTTTCAGAGAAATAAATTCAATTAAAACCATTTAATGTCAATTGAGGCCGAATGGAAAAACCAAGTTAACGTAACTCATTAATGCCACCCGATTAATGCCACTCGAAACCCTGGCCATTATACAATTCAGGAATGACATCATCTCGTCCATTTGGTTATCTTCATCTGATAACCAAACCTATAGTCACCAGGTAACCGACAAGCCGTATCAGATATGCAGTATTTACTAAATTACAACTTTACATGAACTATTCTTTTCCATATACAACATTTTAACTGTCCGTACACAATTTCATATTGATTAATATATATAGATAGATATTATTCAATGGATTGAATTGTTATATGCGGAGAGACTGCATAATAATTTATTTGCTAGTAGTTCTTTGAATAGAAATTATCCTCCTGTTGTAAAACCATGATTTTTATCAAAATCGAATCTACAACTGTGTTATATGTGGTAATATCTCTTATTTTCTGTGAAAGTTATTGTGAACTACATATATTTCGAGGAGATTCCCAAATAAATGGTGGACTAGTCCATGTTGTACATGATGGAATACAAGACTTCGTAATCCCCAAAAATTCGAGAATAGACAAAGCAGAATTTTTCCACATTATCCAGCATTATTTCGCATGTTCCGACAATTTAGAGCCACCTCCAAAAAAATTTCGGAATGCGAAATGGGTGCTTCTCTCGTCCAATTTTCGGTGTGGGGTGGACGAAATGATTATCAATGCTGAGAGAAAGGTTACCATGCCATTATTATTTATTCGTTTGAACCCAGTGGCGGTAAAGTTATGAGACCTTCAGAAAAACTGAGGCTACGTGTAGGGATAAATGTGTACATTTTGGATGAGGATCAAGGTCAAAATCTTAAGCGGTTTGCATATCCGTTCGTTAATGGGAAAAGGTGAGTCATACAATTTGTACGATTTATTATTGAGTAAATATAACTTTGATCGCACAAAATATGGTGGGAGTTGCAAGTGTGCAAGTGGCAGGGGGAAGCATCACATAGCATGCCCAAGCTAACTGGGAGTGAAATGAAACGCTGTGGCTTGAACAGTTTTTGCTTTACAAACTTCTGGTTAATTTTAATGCACATGCATTTTAATGCTAGAATGCATCGCACGAGGAATCCAATGCACTTATCAGATTTTCATTATCTCCAGCGGTTTCGGGGTAAAGAGCTACTACCAGTTACCTTGGGCATGCTATGTATAATAAATATGTAAGATTTTGCCATTACGTGTATGTAGTATGGTCTCAACTTCCCCTTAACCGCTTAAAACTTTACTAACTTCCACCATATTTTGTGCGAAAATTCTTTAAAGTTATCCTTGTTAAATAATGCCTAACCTTAAATTTAAATTTGGCATTATGGAGTTATTAACACAAGAATTGGATGATGGACGTGCAAGGTCTATTCGTTATTTCCTTGAATGTACTTTCAACTTGTATAAATCCAAGCGAAAACTGTGCTGTTGAATTTCTAGGTTATCTCATCTTCACCTTAATCTTAAGTATCTACTTATATAATGGTTATAGACTACATACACTCGCAACAAAATTTTAACCTATCATTGCTGCGCCTAGTGCATGCATTTATGACTTCACAACGTTTAGTACAATTTATTACTACGCGGTATCGAATTGTTAGATAATCGATATAAATGGTCTTAATTACTGGACAAACTGAACCGTTATAACGATTTATACTAATTTAATACCGTATTATAAAATATTAATATACATGAGCCATTTATGCACTCCAGGTAGTTCCAACACTTGGTACCCAAGCAGTAAGAAAAACACTTAATATTTTCAGTTTCACTATTCGATTCGACGAAATCACAAGGGCGAACACACCAAAACTTCCTCCTTCCACATCAATATCTCGGCAAGCCATTGAAGCCTTTATTGCAGCCAGTATTCGGTTATCCTTCCTTTTTACATCTACATCTCGGCGAGATGAATATGCATCTTACAAAGTTATCGCTGGACTCGTAGCAGCTGGTTTTGGGTACCTTGTTATTGTAATAATATGCGATAAAAGGCACAAACGCAAAAGTCATGTGCAACCAGCAAGCCCGGCTGTTCCAGCTGACGATTTTCCCATCTCAGATGATACTTCAGCGCCACCCGATACATCAGCGCCGCGCTAGTCACCTCCAACCAACTCCACTGTTCGCTATATGCCCCCAACTGCAGTAATGGGAGTAAATATTCAACGTATCGGCCGGACGGTAATTTATTCTAGAGCTAGAGAAACGCCTCATAATACACCTATATATCGACCAGCTGGTAATGCAAATCAAACTATGTATACTGTCTTTCGAAAACTAATATCAATATAAATATCTACGATACAATTTCCTAAAGCTCTATCCCAATACTATGCATAATATTACTAAAGGTATGCATTAATATAGTATGTAATAGTAATATTATTGCATCCTCAGGTACGCAGTCATATATGCCGGATAGATTGTACCACGTGGACTCACCGATTGATGCCAGCTTGCTAGACGTCGACGATATATGGGGCACTGATGGTTAAATTAATAAATTAAATACTTAAACTTAAAACAATTCGTTCAGATATTGATATTGTTGATTAGGGTATATTCAAACTATTACGAGTTACCGGTCTCAACTCTATCGGAATAACATCGGTATCTACGTGTTTTCCGTTGGTCGTGACGAATTCTCGGATAACTTGTTTCTCAATCGATACTGAGAAATAGAGTCACTCGTGAAACATTTAAAATATAAACCCCACCTATCATTTCTAGGAGAACCTGGTAAGTTGTGGCGCGCAGATAATTTGAACACAGTTTAACAGTTGTTCTGTATCCTTAGGTTTGGATGCTAATGCCCTAACGAAAGAATACTTTTCGCTTGGTTATATGTCTATCTTGACGAGATGCTATCGCGGTTTTCCACTATTTGACGGACGTGACGATGGAAAAGTTCCATCTCGGGCAAATGGAGGTTTCAACGTTTATGTAAACCTGGGCTCGTTTTTAGTCCACTCGTTTATGCACACCGGTGTCGCCATGTACGGATTACACAAATCCATTGTCAAATATTTGTGCACCCTCAACTATGACTGGGAAGCAGAAGATGACACCATTAGTGTAGCTGATATAGTTTCCTGTGATGCCATGGAAATTGTACGTTAACACTTTTAAAAAGCTACAATTCCTATTGACTAAAGGTTTCTGTCAGATGTACATAGATATTTATAATTAACGGCAAAAAACATCAACAAGTACTGAACTGCAGACATGTTACTAAATCAAGATTAGAAGGAGGATTTGTAAGTTAGTCGTAAGAGCAGAATACGAAATAGAGTTTGTAACAGTTTCATTTGGGCAACCCAATGGGTTAATCCGTACTGATCTCTTTAATTGTGCCATTGAAATTTTGTATTTATCGAAGTGGTTAATGGCTTGTTGGCAAGTAACACTAAATCAAAATTATCGCACTCACAGATTACCCTTTGATATTCCTTCGAATGCACTAATCGGTTTTATGTTTATACCTTATTTTTTTAATGCAGTTTAGCGTTATCGTAAATAAGCTTCTCTTTTTAATATGTTGCGACACCTGTAAATGGATTTACACAATGGTGTAATTTTCGAGATCTAAGTATCGAGCTAAAAAAACGATATAGCAACAAGCTAACGTAGTCACATTGGTTGGCAATTTCAGATATATTACTTGTCTATCTATTTACATGCTTTTAAAATCTTCGTGTCACAAATTTGGCTTTCAGCTTACCAGGCTTGAGGAATTTATGGACACCCCAGCACGCTTCAATAAAGTTATTACATCCGTAAAAGAGATTCGAGAAATGCCCGCCTCCTCAAAGAAGGATCCACAATCTCTGAAAAACGCTTTGGCAAAATTTGACCTGATTAATTCGCGTCGTGTAGAATTGGAGCTCATAAAAAGAGTTTTCATTGCATCTGGTGTAACCAAATTTCTTAACGACAGGCGGCATCTGTGCTCAAACGCGTTCCCAAGACTGGACGAGATCAGGTACACGGCTGACCTGGTGGTAAGGAAGATCAGCTTTCAACGTGGGGAAAATGATATCTCGATGGATACAGAATTGCGAATCCGACAAGTATTTTTCAAATTTCTCTTCAGTATTGAGGGTAAGTAGAATAATGTTATATTTTGTTTTAATATAAAATTCTAATATCCTTCGCAACCTAGGAATTATACAATTGTTAAGTAAATAATAATCAACTACTTTTGTACATTATAAGTAAATATTGTCACATAATTACCACGCGATATTAAGAACCTGTAGCCAAGTACCCAAACGAAATCTGGGGAAAATACCGTCAATTTGTAAATTTGCACATAACTCTTTATGTAATTCCAGATGATCAATTGACCAAATTCATTCTCCCCTTAATCCTGAATGGGGGGCAGGAGATTGAACAAGTGACATGCTTCAAATATTTAGGAGTGCATATTGATTCAGTTCTTGGGTTTAATGTTCATTACCAATCTGTACTAAATCGGGTCTCAAGCAATCTTGGCTGTATTTTCAGTGTTAAGAGATATCTAACTGATAAATTACTTAGTATATTTATATCGTGTTATATTCACTCCATAATTGATTATGGTATCAATATATGGGGCGTGAAAACTAATCTGCAATTTGACGCTATCCAGAAAAGGTATACTCTCTCTTAACAAGTTACTTTCTCCCTAGCTATACAAAAAAATTAAGGAGGTCGAATAAGCGTTGTAAATTCAAAAATGTTTATAGAGCCCTAAATTACAACGAGTTACTAACCAAATGTGACCTTTTGACGGTGCAGGAGAGGCGAGATATGTATCTATTTAAGTATGCTTTCTGCAACCTCAAGCATCTGCAAAGCTCAACTTCAGGTCAGCGTTCTTGGCCACTTCTTGTAGTGCCCAGGGTTCGCACGACATTGGCTCTTAATAATATTGCCTATAGAGCTACGAAATTATGGAATACGCTGCCACGATCATGGAATTTTAATGTATCTTACACCCAATTTGTTATTTTATGTCGCGACTTTATAATTAATCAAAGGACAAATGAATGATATATATATGATTTTCATGAATTATTTAGTTGCCCTACTTAATTAATTAGATTAGTTTTAGATGCTTATAAAAAATATATGCTACTTGTGTCATGGTGTGTAAACCAATTTGTAATGAATTGATCTCTGTTGACACGTGAATAAAGGATTAACAACAACAACAACAACATTAGAGCAGTAACCGCATGGCCGTTACTTCCCGAGGAGGAAATTAGAGTTATCATAATGATCGGTGGAGGTTTCATGGTTCGCGTGTGTTCCTTGGAGATTCATGTCCCAGGAAATTTGAGTGACGACGAAATCTTGTCCTATTTACGGATATTGATGGAGTTTGGAGAGGAGGGGTTTGGAGCTGCATAGAGTAAGATTAGTAAAAAGGCAGAATAAATTACGTGCTATTTAATGCAAACATCGTTTAGTAAAGTAACTTAAAAATATTTTAAATATATAAAAATGGTTATTACGCAACACCTCGCGACATAATTTTTGAAATTTTTATTAAATAGGGGTTACAAAATTCATATTCTCGTCATTAAAAACAGCCAGTAAAATTGCTCCAGAAAAACTCACTCGCACTTCACCGAACGAAAAATAACTATATGATTTCTACTTGAATCAAGACATGTTTTGTAGAATCATGTTGTGGGATCAGTTATGTATGCACATATGTATGTTTGTAAATACATGTAAAAAAAATTGGTGAAGAGGGAGGTTCTGTTTGTAATATGGACATGGCGGAAGCTGTTAACAGCATCAAACCAACTCCAAATTATTAGAAATTTATGAAGGCACTCTCTGATGGAACATGTCCACGGTTCATCCAATGTAGTCCATGTACTAAATATGTCTTATATTTGATTGTTTTGAAGTGATACGAAAGTTACACTTCTGTTATAATAAAGAACGTCTAAATAAAAACAATATTTATTATTTCATAATTGGATTACACGGAGTTTTAGAAATTTATTTTATTATTTCAAGCCTAAATATATGCTCGTGTACAGTTATGGTTATGTCTAATTTATACAGAAATTCCAAAGCTTTTTAATACGTTTGAAAGGCAAACTTCATACTTTGTAACGACATACGTCCAAATTTCGGAACACATTTTCCCACAGAATATAAAAATGCTGGAAACTATACAATTTACAATTCTCTTTATCCTAACTACACTCAAAAGAAAATCGTAACCAAATCAATTCCGGGCGGTGTCACTATGTGACTTAACCGGATTGGAATTAAACCAACTCCGCGTGGATATAATATGCTTCACCGCAGCGGAATCATTTCTTAAAGCGAATGTAACAATATCTACACCGTTCGGCTATGACTGTTTACATGATAACGGTACTGGTTTGTAACAGGGCGGAATTAAAACTAACACCATGTTAGTGTAACGTTTGATTCCTTTAGGAGACAATTTTAAATTTTATTTCCGGCATTGTAATGTTGGTCTTCACAGATTCTGGAATTGTTTTAGGTGTTTTACTCATTTAGTTTAAAATCTTTGAAAATTAGTAATTTTTACACAGTATAAATACAATCTATTTCATATAAATATAATTAGGTAAATATGTACATATGTACATACATACACGCTATTAATTACAGTTTTGTGTTATTAATAAGTCATTAAAATTAATTAACTCTTGAATATTATTCATAACCTATGAAAAATAATGTATGAAAAAAATAATTTTAAAATTTCGAGTTTTGTTAAGAGTAGTTAGCAATGTTCAGCGTCTACAATTGTAAAATCAGATATTATCCCCAAACAAATCGGCCCCATTCCAAAACAAACTGCTAAATTATCTCTGCAATTAAAATTTCAGTACTATATCTTAATTGTTGTAAATTTAATTTTTTACATTCTGGACAACAAAACATTTTTCGTTTAGTAGTAAATAACTTAATTGCTCTACTGCGGAAACTATTTTTGCGGCTGTGTGTAGAGTTTTTTAGCTTTGTGGTGAAAATTGTTCAATTTCCAGTTGTCCGAATTGATTGAATTGGTGTTCCCATCTATTGACATACATGAAATAAATTACAATTAAAAATGACCGACATACTTAGCTCAGATACATATACTTTTAAAGTTTGGCATAGAACTATAATATTTTCACCTTTTAATACAGTAGAACTCGGTCATTTGCTTCAGAGGCCGTGTCGAAGCAATCTCTCTCGTTGCAAGCTGTCACTTTTTCTGACAATCTGGGCGATGTTTGTATTAGTTTTAGTTCGTTAAATAACTGACTAAAATGAATTTCAGAATATGAAAAGTTTCTTTCAATACAAAAACTACCTGTTTCGTGAAGTGCTCCAAAATCTGTCCAGTGGATTGCTGCAATACTGCAACCGGCGACGAGTTGAGTGAGCTTGAAACATGAAAAAAATGTAGTTTCTCCAAAGGAAAAAAAAGATTAAAATAATTTACCATATATGGAGAGTCCAGCGTGACCTCAAAATTTCGCTTTTGACCAGGAAATTGATGGATTTTATGCTGCTAAGGCTGGGAAAGACTTCGCACGATCTTATTCCCTAAATTTATTTTAAATTTATTTTACTAAAAATATTTACCTAGAAAATACTAAAAGTCGAAAATTGGTAAACTTACACGTTCCTATAAAATTCAGATAATTAGTTGGGGAGACAATTAATTTCTTCAAACTCGGAATTATTTTCTCCATGTTGCTGCTTGCGGTGCAGAAAGCAAGCTAAAAAGTTGAGCTTGCCGGGCTGACATTGTTACGTTTTTGTAATAAAGCCCTCACCGAAAGGAATTGAATTTGTCTCCGCTGTGTGTGAAATGCCGTCACCGTTGACGGGGAAGATTCTACTCCGCTCTAGTATTAACTGGGTGTTAATTTTAACATAATAAGGTTAGAATTTTATTCCGTACTGTATTAAATTTAATACTGCTACGTGTCGTTTGCCTTAATATCAACGGTTTTAATTTTCCATGCGCACGGATACAATTTTGGAGACAATATTATTTCCGTGCCGGTCATGTTTGTTATCACGGAATGACGGTTATGATTTCTTTGTGAGTTTTAACACCGCTTTGCTAAGAGTGTAGCATCAGCAGAAAGGCATATTTACATTCTACCATTACCATTACAACTGCCAAACTCAGCAATGCCGCATACAACGCAAACATATATCTCAACGCAGTGACCGATACTGGAACGCACTCGTGAAATTCTTGCTTAAACTGGACCCCACTGTTTAATTCGGCGTAAAATTTCTTGTAGGTCCTGTTCCCAAATTTTTTCATTACAAACAGATTATCGGAACCTATAAAGAGACGATGCCATTTCTCAGATAACCCCGATTCCACCGGTGAATAATTTAAAAATTTTGAAACCATTAACACAACCCTCGCGAAGGTATTTGTTATTGGACGATTTTTTGAAAACACACACCAACAGAATATTTTCAATGTATTATTTTTAAGCTGAATTAAGCAGTTAGCGACAGGGTACATACATTCAGGGTACATGTATATTTAGAATTTTATTCGTTCAAATTTATTACCATTTTTTCGTAAATATCAGTACAACATACAGATTCTCGTATCATTCATTCGCTATCTTTACTAGATATTCGCCTCCTTTATCGTAATCTCCAAATTCCTACCAAGTTGTCTCCCAATTCAATCACCTTACGAAATGAATCCGCTATTTCTCCCAATATTTGCATTTTGCCCACTTATCAACCTCGTCAGCAGTGTTTATCTGCCAGAAATCCTTTTACTCCACTACGACCTACACTTCCTTTCAGAAAATCTGCAAGTATCCCCAGTCCTAAAAAATCATTACAAGCCCCTTGGCTCAGTTACCGCAGATCATCAGCCAAATCACGATAAATAAATCTTCTGCAGATAATACTAATTCGTCGCACCACCTACAATATAATCGTTCCTTTATCACTAAGTATACACTCTTAGCAAAGCAAAGAAATCATAACCGTCATTCCGTGATAACAAACATGACCGGCACGGAAATAATATTGTCTCCAAAATTGTATCCGTGCGCATGGAAAATTAAAACCGTTGATATTAAGGCAAACGACACGTAGCAGTATTAAATTTAATACAGTACGGAATAAAATTCTAACCTTATTATGTTAAAATTAACACCCAGTTAATACTAGAGCGGAGTAGAATCTTCCCCGTCAACGGTGACGGCATTTCACACACAGCGGAGACAAATTCAATTCCTTTCGGTGAGGGCTTTATTACAAAAACGTAACAATGTCAGCCCGGCAAGCTCAACTTTTTAGCTTGCTTTCTGCACCGCAAGCAGCAACATGGAGAAAATAATTCCGAGTTTGAAGAAATTAATTGTCTCCCCAACTAATTATCTGAATTTTATAGGAACGTGTAAGTTTACCAATTTTCGACTTTTAGTATTTTCTAGGTAAATATTTTTAGTAAAATAAATTTAAAATAAATTTAGGGAATAAGATCGTGCGAAGTCTTTCCCAGCCTTAGCAGCATAAAATCCATCAATTTCCTGGTCAAAAGCGAAATTTTGAGGTCACGCTGGACTCTCCATATATGGTAAATTATTTTAATCTTTTTTTTCCTTTGGAGAAACTACATTTTTTTCATGTTTCAAGCTCACTCAACTCGTCGCCGGTTGCAGTATTGCAGCAATCCACTGGACAGATTTTGGAGCACTTCACGAAACAGGTAGTTTTTGTATTGAAAGAAACTTTTCATATTCTGAAATTCATTTTAGTCAGTTATTTAACGAACTAAAACTAATACAAACATCGCCCAGATTGTCAGAAAAAGTGACAGCTTGCAACGAGAGAGATTGCTTCGACACGGCCTCTGAAGCAAATGACCGAGTTCTACTGTATTAAAAGGTGAAAATATTATAGTTCTATGCCAAACTTTAAAAGTATATGTATCTGAGCTAAGTATGTCGGTCATTTTTAATTGTAATTTATTTCATGTATGTCAATAGATGGGAACACCAATTCAATCAATTCGGACAACTGGAAATTGAACAATTTTCACCACAAAGCTAAAAAACTCTACACACAGCCGCAAAAATAGTTTCCGCAGTAGAGCAATTAAGTTATTTACTACTAAACGAAAAATGTTTTGTTGTCCAGAATGTAAAAAATTAAATTTACAACAATTAAGATATAGTACTGAAATTTTAATTGCAGAGATAATTTAGCAGTTTGTTTTGGAATGGGGCCGATTTGTTTGGGGATAATATCTGATTTTACAATTGTAGACGCTGAACATTGCTAACTACTCTTAACAAAACTCGAAATTTTAAAATTATTCTTTTCATACATTATTTTTCATAGGTTATGAATAATATTCAAGAGTTAATTAATTTTAATGACTTATTAATAACACAAAACTGTAATTAATAGCGTGTATGTATGTACATATGTACATATTTACCTAATTATATTTATATGAAATAGATTGTATTTATACTGTGTAAAAATTACTAATTTTCAAAGATTTTAAACTAAATGAGTAAAACACCTAAAACAATTCCAGAATCTGTGAAGACCAACATTACAATGCCGGAAATAAAATTTAAAATTGTCTCCTAAAGGAATCAAACGTTACACTAACATGGTGTTAGTTTTAATTCCGCCCTGTTACAAACCAGTACCGTTATCATGTAAACAGTCATAGCCGAACGGTGTAGATATTGTTACATTCGCTTTAAGAAATGATTCCGCTGCGGTGAAGCATATTATATCCACGCGGAGTTGGTTTAATTCCAATCCGGTTAAGTCACATAGTGACACCGCCCGGAATTGATTTGGTTACGATTTTCTTTTGAGTGTACATAAATGGATATATTTAAATAGTTACCAATTTGAATTGATAGTCACTACTTTCTGTTATGTATGAATTTACATGGGCTACGCCGTTCAGCTATTTTCGAAATTAAATATTGAAATGAAAGCAAATGGCGTACAAACTTAGGAAAACCCTTTGTGGTGTATGCGTGTTTATTCATTGAAGTTTAAATTGCGTGGTATGTAAATACATATGTACGTATCCGCATGCTGGTAAATAAGTATGTATTTATTTTGTATTCTTGTCTAATTCACTACTTAGGTATATGCAACATATTTAGCAATTTAGCTTCCTAATATTGACTATGAAATTAGATGTATTTACATATGTCATGCATAATTGCATACATCAAATTGACCAAACAAAACTCCAAACCACGTTCGGCCCCTAAATTTATTTATATAATATGTACTTCTTACTCTAGATACGTAAATAAATACGTACAATTTCCATAACATGTAAACATTATATTAATGCGGTGACAATTAGCGTACTTTATAAAAAAATTAATGTTTTTTAAAAAAAGAACAACATTTTTACGCACAAACAAAGTTTCTTAGATACTGCAAATTAAGTGCCTCCAGGTTTGCAGGTATTTCCAGATTTTTGGGGCACACTCGCATCCCGAATCCACCTCTCCTTATCGACACAACAATATCCCCGTTTACACGAGTTTGTCAGATAATAGTGATCCTCTGTCCAGCGAGCCTCGTTCGAATCCCATGTTCGCACTACTTCCGTCTCATATGGCATTTCGCAGCATATCTTTTCTGGTATGGCCGGATTTGCACACACCCCTCGAACCTGGGTCGTTGAGTTGGGTAGATTATGCAGAAAAATTTCCAGACTTATGATACACGGTGAATAGAAGATCGTCTCATCCAAAGAATCTGAAAAGTGTATGAATTTCGTTACGTAACAAGATACATATGTAAAGTGACAAACTGGAAATTACTTAAATCCGTTAAAAAATACTCGCAGAATCTCAGGTTACACCAACACTCTTGGAAATCCAGTCTTAAAATAATACCAAGAAGTATTCATATATGTAGAATGTAGATAAGTGACCAACGTGGTATTGATAAACAATTCGTTCTCAAGTTTTCCCATATCGGTAGTAAATATTTACCGACACGTATAAGTTTAATACCAAGCGGTAGCAAGATTAATACCGTGACTATACCAGATTTCTATAACGGCTTTTTAAAATGTATTATGTTTTGACATTACTTATTTAAAAATCACGACAATCGATAATACGCAAGAGTAAGATTTAGTACTAGTTTGTAACATGTACATATGTACATGCATACATCTCAAAGTTTCACAAACATGTACATACATATGTGCAGTGAAATTTTATTAGTAAGTTTAATAGTTAGATATCCTACCTAATTTCCGAAAATTTAATGGGTTCCATTTTATTAATTTTAAATTATAAGAATTCCACCAGGTCTATACTATAAGACTTATACAATATTCACGACATGAAAATTGTCCAACGTATTTATTTGCGTGTAAAAATGTCTATCCATAATTACCTCTGGGCCGGATCGTTGTTGTCGTGGTCCGGTAATCTTCCTCCCTTCTGCTGCACCCCACAACAATTTGGACGACGTTAAAAAATAGTAATGATGTCTTCATTGTTAACAAATTCGTGAAGAAATAATGCAAGCTGATTTCACCGAAACGAATTTACTGTAAATACATACAATTGCAAAAATGATGTGCAAATGAAGCCGAGGTGCAATCGATATACGTAAACCTGTTTGCTACGGAAAAGCAATTTAGCCATGTGAAGCACGTGCATAAATGATGTGATGAATGTGGCCAGGACGTATTTGTTAAATAAATACAAATAAATTTTATTTCTGGGTATACTGGGCCAACTGCTTCCCAGATTCGCCACATTCTGTACGCACGACCTTTAATCTACCTAGTAAATATATTTGCAATACCGGTACCGCTAGGATTTTGGAAACATGTTTGACAGTTCATTACAAATTCCCGTATGGGTAAATCATGATATTTTAAACGTCCCAGGCACCCAAATTTCATTAAAATGATCTGAATATTTTCAAAAGTCTGAAAATTTCTAGATTCGTCCAGCACTGGAGCCTAAAGTGTGTAAAAGGTGATGTTTCATATATTTCATTTATCACAGTTACATAATTATACAGTATACATTTATATATTTTTTTGTAAAGTACCACACCATCTGTGATCATTCAACCCCTTGGACACTTTTCAGTGAAGGCTGCTTTATTTCGATGCCACGAGGCAAACTTATGTACAAATGTACATATTTATATATATATATATAGGTGCACGTGTACATACATACATATATGACATATGTATATGTTCATGTGAAAAAGAAAGTGTGTAAGTATAGTTGATTCACACATTGCACATGTACATGTGTACACTCACTTGAAAAGCTAACGAATTTTTAAATATTGTTATGCAGTTTAGTTATATAATTTACAGCACACGCAAAAATTTCAGTAATCGTTTAGATTTTAAACGTATGTACCTATGTGTACATTATTACATACCGTTGTTACACAATTTTTGCTCCAATACGAGTTATTTTAACCGATTTCCAACATTTAGAATATAAGTTAATCCAATGAATTTTTCATTTATGGAAAGCTGAATTAGTTTAGTATTTATTTGTCCTGTGAATATGTGTATTATACATACATATGTACGTATAATATTACTTAATAAGGGTCTGTCCCTTATTAAGGAAATCGGATCAAGGATCACGATCGTCACAGAGGAGAAGAGGGCAACAGCGTTTCTTTTACAAAGGATGAGTATTGCAGTACAGCGTGGTAATGTTGCTGCAATTTTGGGATCTCTTCCAGCCGGACGAGAGCTGGATGAGATATTTTTACTATAAGACGACGGATTAGGTTAAGGTTTTTTTTAAATTTCAGATGGGGACGATTTGTAAGACGCTGGTCGTTTAGCTTTTTTAATATAAGATGTAATAATAAGTACTTTACTCTGCGATACAATTCATACTCTTAATGAATAATAAACCATATGTCCATGTCACGTAATAATAAACACTGACAATATTACAATCTTTGTGTTACACATGCAAATACAATTATTCTTAACGTATATTTTTAAACAGGCTACCTGGTTCCTGACATTTTGAATACTTACTTCCCTTGCAAAAATTGACCCGAAAAAATGGACACTACACACGTGCAAGATATTGCACTCAATAATCCAATTGTAAGCGAAAGAAAGTAATTAATTTAAGTTACTTACGGTTTAATTTAATTTAAAATTTATTTAAAATTTAACTTAATTTCATTTAACTAATTTAACTAATTCTTAAAGTCATGCTAAACATTAGTTTAAACCCAAGAACGTACATTTTTTTCTATAACTTTTTACAGATTTTGACCGAAATATTGAAGCAGACCTCAGTCCGGTTGCGAGATGCCCGATTCGTCTCCAAATTTTGGAACGACATAGTTCTCTCCCTTCCCAAGACAAGACTTACCTTTTGTCTGAGAGATTCGTACAACGAATACGAAGAAGGCGAGGAAGACACCGATGAAGATTTGCACACCGATCCGTTTCGGTTTTTCGAAATATGCTCCACTTTAAATAAACGACTCTCGAAGAGTATCATCGCCGAGTTTGACACCAGCATGAAATATGACACGGATGAATCTGCTCCTGCCATCTACTCTTTCGGGGCCAAGTTGATGCACTTGTGTGCCATGTTTAGTGATACTATTGGCTCATTCCACCTGAACCCACACGATCGTCGTCGCACCCATATTTGATATCTTGTCCACAATCTTATCATAGATGCATAATATAAAATAAAACATATCATAAAAATCAAAATTTGAAAATTATTTTTTTTCGCAAAGATATAGCAGTTCAAAGAAAATTTGCAAATGCATTGAAAATGCTTTCGTCGCCAAAGTGTTGGTTCAAGGGGTAGGTTACATTTACAGATTTCATTCATTGATCATTCATTGATAGGAAAAATTTTCAAAAATTCAAATATTCAAAAAAATCAGAAATTTATAATGTATTGAAAAACTCGATTATCGAGAAGACGGACAAGAATCGCTCATAGAGAGATAAGCCAATCGATGCCTTTGGGCCTAAGGAAATAAAAAAGTTTAAAACCCCACGCGATTTTTGTCCGTCTTGGAGTTTTGGCGATTTTTCGAAAAGGTAAAATTAACATGGGCTGCTTGTGTAGACAGTAGTAAATAATTCTGTGTTCCTACGTGGCCGGGAACATTGACAAAGCATAAGTTGTGTGGTGTTCTCATATCAAAGAGAGGAAAATACATGGTCAGGCAGCCACCACCAGCGAGCAGGGTTTAGCACCTCTATTTCCTGGGACTCGATCAAACGTGTTGCTTACAAATGGAATGAGCCTATTCAAATGTTGGAGATTATCATTTATGACGTAAACTGTGTAAAATATGTTTATCAAGCGTTAAAAAATTCCTGCCCTGGTTTGACACAGCTACACATCATGTGTCACGCTTGCGGCCTGGAAAGTCTTAAGAAGCCATTCCAGCCCGGCAGGATAACGGAAAAACCAGGGTTGACAAAATTGTCGCTAGATTACGCGGTAGACGGTGACCCCACAAGCGTATCTCTTTTTCTCAGTCTTGTCCAGGAGATCATTAACGCCTCCCCAAATTTAAAAGAGGTCACTTTTCCGCGGGGATTTCATCCCGATTTAGCTCAGTCTAAGTGCCTCGATTCCTTAACGATCGCTCTGAGTGAACTTAGCGTACCGGATATCGTACACTTTAACGTCTCAGAACTTTTGCGCATGCTGAATCAAATCGGTGACCAGTTAGTGACCCTATTTTTGGGCGAGAACAATGCAATTAAGCACATTTTCAGATTCGGAACCTGGAATCGGATCGAATTCGGCTTGCCGAAAAGGATGCCGAAATTGAAAATGTATCGAAACCTGTTTGTCCACGTTTTCGAATGTACCGACATTTCGAAAGATATTGAAAAAAAGCCTGCCCTTAATACGCTCGTGCTTGGAAAGACAACCGCGACAAAGTCGAACTGTTTGCATGACATGTTGGAAACTATTTTCAACTCGGGAAAGATTTTGGGAAACGTGAGAAACTTAAAGATTCTTGAGATACATGACACCAAACTTTTGGAGGGATTGAAGATAGCTTTTCCCAACTTGGAGAGCTTAGCTTTGCGATCGGTCAGTTCGAAGGATGACGCCGAGGCGGTGGGCGGAATGGAGTTGGGTGTGGTACTTGAAGCTTGTACGGGAGGTTGGGAGCGGCTAAGGCACTTGAATCTACTCCTGCCAACGTATCCGGAGAAAATGGTGGATTTCCTTAAGGTTCTGTTGGATTCCAGGGATCTGTATCAAGGTGAGTGAGTGTAATTTTGCATAATACGGAGATTGCGAAGTAAGGTATTTACACTCAGTTTTCAAGTAAGAGCTATATAAATTTGCATTGCCTTAATTGAGAAAATTTTGAGCGTATGTGTTAAAATTTTATACAGAAATCCTTAATTCGCAATCTCCTTATTAAAACTTTCATTTAGAAATTTCATTTTCGAAATGCTAAGGGTATACGCAATTGGCTTCGTATCCTGAGCGTCGTAAAATTTTTCAGGAATGAGAAACAAGGCCCCAGCTTGGTCAAACTCGTAACGTGATTTTTATTGACAAATCCTAAAGACGAGAACTAAATCTCGGGAATTAATTGGCTATCAAGGCTGCCCGGTATGCAAATTTTTTCATTACACTGGCTAGAAAAAAAATTCTAAATCACTTCTGTCCTACACAGTTGTAAATCGCTCGCTGGTTACAAATCATTATTGCCAAATCCGAAAAAATGCAAATGTTAAAAAAAATGTTTTATGTCGAGTCTTGGACTATGTACCTAGGTATGTACATACATACAGCCGGTCCCCAAAAGTATCCGTTATTTACATATTTGTAATTTTGATAAGATCCGGTGCACCTAGAGCTCTGAAATTGTGCACACAATTGCATAAACTCATTGGTGAATTATTCCTCGTCGCCAGTTTTTAAGGTCACCGCCCGGTCAAAGGTCAGAATTTTTTTAGTACTTGAAAATGAGAGCCCAAAAACAAAAGTCCGTGGATAATTTTTTTTCGACTTTTCAATATTTATTATTGGAAACCGCAAGGTCTTACGAAGAAAATGAGCTATGGTACGACCGTGTATGATTTTTTTGACGCCCACAGGAATTTTTCGCCAAAAAAAAATTTTAAGGCTCAACATCGCGACCGCGGCGAAATTAAAAGAATTGAAATATATTTAGAAAGTGCATACAAAGCATATATGCACTTTCTATATGCTTTTGTATATTTCAATTCTTTTAATTTCGCCGCGGTCACGATTTTAGGCCTCAAAACTTTTTTGGCGAAAAATTCCTGTGGGCGTCAAAAAAATCATACACGGTCGTACCATAGCTCATTTTCTTCGTAAGACCTTGCGGTTTCCAATAATAAATATTAAAAAGTCGAAAAAAAATTATCCACGGACTTTTGTTTTTGGGCTCTCATTTTCAAGTACTAAAAAAATTCTGACCTTTGACCGGGCGGTGACCTTAAAAATCAGCGACGAGGAATTATTCACCAATGAGTTTATGCAATTGTGTGCAGAGTTTCAAAGCTCTAGGTGCACCGGATCTTATCAAAACTACAAATATGTAAATAACGGATACTTTTGGGGACCGGCTGTATGTTCATTTGCATTTGTTCATATTTTCATACGTATGTACATTTTGCACGCTCACTTTCATGCATACCAATATTTTTTTATTTTGTATTACAAAGTACATAGTTTCAATTATTAGACTGTAAATATATTTTATTTAAATTTACTCACGATTGAGTTAAATTTGCAAAGACACAACCGGTTGTTTAAAATTTACGCAACGTTCCAGGATTTTTTTCTCAACCGTGAGTAAATTTTACATACTTTCGTCGGGGAAATTTTCACAACCAGTTGTGCTATCGCATACATATTTTACTCAACTTTGTTTTTAGCGTTCCTTGACATAATTTCCCTCTTAACTTAAACTTCAGGGCTGAAAACTTTGACAATTTGGGGATGGAAGTTCAACGTATTGGAACATGATTTGACACGGGAAGAAATGAATCTGTTTAAACAGCTGCTCGTCGCAATGGACGTGATGGACAAAGTTATCGTTGAGGGCGTCAAGGTGAGTTATTTAACCACACTGTAGCCATAATCCTAGCAAAAAAAATCCCTTGAGTACGATCTTGAATTCGTAACTACATCTGGTAACAGCCAATTAAGTTTCCATGATTTCCTATAAAAGAACAATATGTATTCCACCAGTTTACAAGTTGGGAGGTTTTTTTGTTGAAAATCATGAAAGGCCCCTCTTTGACACTGGTCGGTATAGGGAAAATTCCAAAATTTTAGAAAAATATCGAAAAAACTCGACTTTTTACCATCGAGTTTTCCACAAAATACCAAAGAAACACTTGTATTTTGGAAAATTTTGAGAAATCTGAATTTTTGTTCAAATGCATCACATGGCGTATTTGGTCCTCAAGGGGCAGTCGTCATGGTACATCATGATGAATTTGGACGATAATGGGATTTTAAAATAATACGAGATAGGACGTATTTGGCCAAGTAACGCCCAGAAAAATACGTCATATGACAAATTTGGTCTAACAGAGGTTAATAGGTTAGGCCCTCAGATACATCCTAAAACTTTCGCTAGTTACCAAATTCTCTGAATTGAGGGCACAAAAGGATACAGGCTTACTTTTTGAGGGAAATGTTAGATACAATCACTGGTAAATAGTTTAGTGTAGTTTGCATTAAACTTTGTGGAGACATGTGGCATTAAATTAGCTATACCTTAACACAATAATAGACCCAACAGTTAACATAATACAAAATGAGACCATTTCCAATTTCAATCTCTAATATTTGACACAAAGTACGCTGGTAACGATTATCTTTAGTTAGTGAGTTAGACTATGACCTAATTATATCATATTAGTTACATTCCTGGCAATGAAAAACATTCCTATTATTTTTATTTACAGTTTGGCGAAGAATCTATGGAAAACATATTGACTTTTATGACGTCCAACGAATTGGCCGTATCGAAGTTTAGGATGTTCGGGGGACGATTGATAAACATTTTTTTACGACTTGACAATCAGGATTTAAATACACACATCAGATTTGGGTTTACTATTATCTTTAAGGTTTATCTTGATTATGCAAGTATGTAAAGGGTGGCCTAAATGTACATATCTCCCGGGTGATTTTTTTGCAGGCGTCCAAGATAAAAATTGGGTGTAATTCCTGAACCAAATAATATTTTAATTTAAAAATTTTACCACGAGAGGTCCAACACTAAGGCCCAATGCCCTAAATGCTCCATTGAAGAAATGAAGAGCATTGAGGGCATTGTTAAGGTAAATTGTTGATAGCCCAAGCACTTTGGTATGTGCGAGAAAAAACTTTGGTTCGTTGAGTCACATGGTTTTGAAAAATACGCTCTTGTTCTTTAGAAAGAAAAAATCGGGAGATTCATTTGGGCCACCCTTTATCTCGCATTGTATTTAGGTCTCACGTTTAAAAATAATGCTACCTGTTTTAGTATGTAAAACTAATCCTAAATGCATTCTAAATTCTATATTATATACGGCATCCAGAGTAAACTTTAGTTTTTGTCAAGTAAGCGTTAATTTATGTCGATTTAGAATAGTTTACTTCGTTAAGAGTGCTCTTACTTTTCAAAAAAGTACAATTATTTTTTAGTATGAGAGATTATCAATATGTTAATAAAGACCCAGTATATGTATTTATATAATGCATACCAAGCAGAGATATACATGTGTATGTATCTATGTCAACCTACATACATATTTACACCTGCATATATGTAAGATTATCTATACACATGCATGTACATGATCAGACAACTAGATGTCAGGCTACAGATAAAGTAATATGTCATTAATCATACAAAATGTACATATGTGTGCATGCATGTACATACATATTTGCATATGTGTTGTACATATTTGTGTGCATATTTCTGCACATGCATGCAGATAAAGCCTCGCCACACCATCTGTGATCAATGATCAGTGATCATTCAACCTTTGAACCCTTTTCAGTTGAGAGTACTTTCTTCCCATCCCACAAGGCAAACTGATATCAATACATACACACATAACTAAATCAAGTGTTTAAGGACTTTGGACTCACACACGTATTTATGTACATACATGCCTCCTCTCACTTTAAAAGTTAATCAAGTAAATGTTTCTAAATATGAATTGACTTACTGTTTACGCTAAATTTTAATAAGTAACCAGCAGTTTCAACGCACAACTTTGCATACGTGAGTCTCATTTTTATACAACATTGGTTGCAGTACGAGTTATTTTGATCGACGTATGTAAGTAAAATATTTTAAAATTATTATTTTTCAATTTTAAGTATTCATATAAATACTTCGTAAATTTAAATAGCTTCGTTTTTTATCCACTGCCAGTATTTAATATGAATCACAGATAAATTTGTTATCATTAAATGCATATTATGATTTGAAATAATTATTTGCAAATAGGCAATTTTACCCGAAATTTTGAACACTTCCAAAATTCTCCCGGAAGAAATGGCAACTCCAGAAGACCTCGCACTCAATAATCCAATCGTAAACCAAAAGAATACCAAGTATTTCAATCAAAACATTTTTTTTTATAAATATTTTTCAACTTTTTCCAGATTCTCACAAAAATATTACAACACCCCTCGATTTCTTTGGGCAATGTACGAGTCGTCTGCAAATTATGGAACGATATTGTTCTCTCCCTTCCCAATACGAGACTTGCCTTTCGACAGTTTGACGAATGCTTCCAAGACAATGATCAAGAACTAAAAGATTTTAAGGCCGACCCGTTCTACTTTTTTGAAAGGTGTTCCATTTTAGATGCGCGACTCGCGAGAGCGATAACCGCCTCATGTGACACGTCTGACATACAAGACCCGGTTGAAGCTATTGCATACCTTTACTCTTTTGGCGCCAAGCTGATGCACTTTTGCGACAAGTTTAGCGAAATCGTGCAAATTTTGGATATTTCTATCCATTCCGAGCACTGTTTAAGATATGTTTATCTAGCCTTAAAAAATCATTTACCGAATTTAAAAGAGTTACGAATCAATTGTTATATAGGCGCTCTTGAGGCGCGAATTGATCAGCCAGGCGCGCTTGCCCCAAAACCAAAGTTGGCCTTGTTCGCGCTCATTTGTCGTTTAAAAGAGGACACCCCGTTTGTTACCAGTCTTGCTCGAAGAGTGATTAAGGCCTCCTCAAACTTAAGGGAGGTCACCCTTCCGTGGGGATTTCACCCAGATTTGTCTCGTTCTAAGTGTCTCGACACCTTAAGGATCGCCCTGGATGACATTAAAGGAAAGGATGTCGTCTACTTCAACGGTTCGGAACTTGGGCGCATGCTGAATCAAGTTGCTGACCAGTTGGTTACCTTATCGTTCGGCGAGGACGATGAAAGTTGGGACTTTTTGGAGCCAGGAACCTGGAATCGGATGGCATTCAGGTTTCCGAGAAGGATGCAGAGGTTGAAAACCTATAGAAATCTGATGATCGACGTTTTGGAGTGTACAGAAATCTTGAACGATATCGAAAAAATGCCCGTCCTGGAAACGCTCGTCCTCGGAAAATCAACCGCAACATGGTCGAGCTGCTTGGTTGAAATTTTACAAAATATTTCCAAATCGGGTAGAATTCTGGGAACGTGAGGAGTTTGCGGATTTTTGAGATGCATGATCCCACACTTTTGGAAGGATTGAAGAAGGCTTTTCCCAACTTGGAGAGCTTGACGTTGAAAACGTGCAGAAAGGAGGGTGACACCGGGGCCGTGAGTGGGATGGAGGTGGGTGTGGTGCTGAAGGCGTGTACGGGAAGTAGGGGGAGATTGAGACGTTTGAATGTTAAGTTGCCAGCGTATCCGGGGCAAATGATGGATTTTATTAAGGTTCTATTGGATTCTAGGGACCTGTTTCAAGGTGAGTGTCAACTTTAATATTGATACGTTTTAGGGCTACCTGGTACATAACTACCCGGTATGTTGGGCCTTCTTTAAGATGCCCGGATCCGACCGGATGTTCTATGCTTACCCGGCTGAGTTAGTTGTCAGTCCAATTCCGTCACTTGAAATTCAAAACTTTACGAAAACATTCCCAATCTTATGGATATCGTTTTTTATGTTTTTCATACTTGGTACACACTTATATTCTACTAATTACTAAATTCTACATTCTAATTTTAATCAAAATTTTGCATTTTAAATTCTATAAAAGTGTATTTTATTTTGAAAAGAAAATAATGAAATGACCCATGAGCTTTGGCCTAATTTTATGTACGTATATGGAAGATTAGTGTTTGCTTGATACATGTTACAGTGCCCAGTATTATTATTGATTCATGTTAAACGATTAATTTCCATGCCAATATGATCATTAGGGCTGAAGACGTTGACAATTTCGGGAAAAACAACTTTGAAACATGAGATGACAGAGGACGAAATGGATCTGTTTGAGCAACTGCTCCTCGCAATGGATATGATGGACCAAGTCTTCATTGAGAATATGGAGGCGAGTTACTTAATACATATATTAAACAAAACTAAATTACCATTTTGGTAAATTGATTAGTGTTCTCAATGGTCCGGTCCACGGACCGGACCGGACCGATAACTCCGGTTCGGTCCGGTCCTGGTCCTGGGCTTAGACCGGACCAGGACCGATAAAAAATTTCGGTCCGGTCTCGGTCCTGACTGTTTAGGACCGGACCGATAACCTTCGGACGATAACTTTTGGAGAAAATGTGAAACGGCTACAACATAGCGCTTTAATTTTATGACCACATATATCTATTATATCTGGCTTTTGAATTAGCTTATTAACCTCTTTCGTATCAATGATTTTTGTGTAAAATTTCCTTGGGTACGATGTTGATTTTTTAATTACACCGAATAGCAACCAATGAAAATCTTCATGATTTCCTACAAAAGACGGTATGTTTATTTCAACCAGTTTCCAAGTACCGGTATAGAGAAAATTCCATAATTTGGGATGATTTTAAACAATCGACTATTAACCATCTAATTTGCCACAAAATTGCCAAACAAATACTCAGATTTTTTTCTCAAATGTTTCACCCTACTGCTACATTGCGTTTGCTACAGTTTATGACGTTGTTTACTTGCTTTCACTCTTGTCGGTCGCACACATGCCGACCACTTTCATCTATCTAATTTTTTTTGCAAGGTTGGGGATAATTGTTATTTATTTACCAAAATTTATGGTAGATTCGCCAACCAATATTTGTAACAGATGTAAGCTTAGATTTAACTTAGCGTGCGATTCATTCTGAGATTAATCTCTGTAAATTTCCAAATTTTTCACAAATTCGTTTTAAAATTTGTCCCATTTTTAGTCATCGTTTAACGTAAAGAGTATTTATTCAATGGTCAGGTTCAAAAAGTTCATGTGGGTCATTAAATTTTATATTGCGCCGCAGGGAATAACAAAATTTCTTTTACTCAATCAGATAAAAGACAGTAGGTGAGACACTAGTAATGGCACACTACTGAAAATTTGGTGACCCTCATAATCTGTACTTGTGAAAACTTGTCACTATCTTTAAATCTATCAAAAAAATAAAATTCTAATAAGAACTTCGAATTTTACGACGTTAAAATAAATTTTGAAAATTAAATGTAAACTTAAATTTTTCTGTGAAGCAACTAACGTGTTCTGAAGTAACTTGTAAAATCCGTAAGGTTTGTCTAATATTGAAAGCGAAATCTTATCGGTCCGACCGGGACCGACCGATAAGACTCGGTCCGGTCCCGGTCCTGTCAAAAAATATCGGTCCGGTTTCGGTCCAAGCTTATCGGTCTTCGGTCCGGTCCTGATCCTGCACTGGACCGGACCGAACCGGACCATTGAGAACACTAAAATTGATTATGTAAATATTTCGTGGCATCCTTAGTATCGTAAAATACTTAAAGAACAAAAAAGAATGGGTTTTACGATGGAGGTCTCCCAACGTAAGCGGGTAAAACTAGTGTCAATTAATATTTTATTAGTGTGTAATTTGCAAGTAGTTCTATCTGCCAATGCTCAGGTTTGGTATACATAGATATTTGCACACAAATTTGGAGAAAACTTGGTAAATTTGCACGTGCCAAATTTACTACGCATTTTGGACGCAAATATCTCTGCCAAACGGGCGCATTGGCAGATATGTAGAACCTTTTGCAAATTTTATAGAAATTAAATTTGTGATCCGTTCACACTACTTTCGTCTAAATCGGCAAGCAGTCGTAGGCAGACCTCCATCGTTTGTAACAATCGTTAGTAACGATTCACTACCTTGGTAACGCGATTTTTGTTAACAAAACCTAAAACCGTTAACAAAATTTCGTAACCTTCGTAACTTATTTTACGATACTAAGGACGCGAAGGAATTACCCTGATTGTAACCTTGGTTATTTTATATTTAGTAAATTACACTGTAAATAATTTTGTTTACAGTTTGGCGAAAAATCAATGAGAAATATCGTAACCTTTATGACGTCGAACGAATTGCCGGTGTCGAAATTTATGATGTTCGGAGGACAAGCGGATCCTGCCACGGGAGACGATTGATCGCCATTTTATCGAGATATTATTTGCATACGTCAGATTTAATATTTTGCATAATTACTTGGAAGTTATATCAGGGATTTACTTTTATCTCTCACTGTATTTTGCATTTTTTCACTACTACACTCTTAAAAATAAACTGGTAATCATAGATATATTCAAGTATCGCAGCTCGTATTCTTGTTGTTTTGTCTACGTATGGTTTTGATATCGTTTATTTATCGTCATTCGTCGGCATTTTTACCGTTGTTGTTTAATTTATAGTCGAATATTATGTTGCATATAGTTTAATTTACTCTGCAAAAGGGTAATACTATTGTTAAGAGTGTAGTCGATAGAGTGTGCTCTTATATCTTTTGCTTGAAACGTCTCAGGCACCCAAATTCTACTTTTTAAGAAGGTGTGAATATTTTCAAGAGTTTGAAATTTCAAGATGCATCCAGCACTGGAGCCTACATAAATCCCAATTTCATAATTATAAAGCATGCATGAACATATGTACATATTTTCTTGTAAAGTACCACACCATCTGTGATCATTCAACCCTTTGAACTGGAGGCTGCTTTATTCTGATGCCACGAGGTAAACTTATATAAATATCTACAAATGTACATATATTTGTGAACGTGTACAGACATATGTTCATGGAAGGAGAAAGTGTGTAAGTACAAAGTAAGGTAGATTAATACAGTGTACCTATTCACATGTGTACACTCACTTGGCAAGTTAACGAAATTCTAAATGTTGTTATGCAGTTTAGTTAAATAATTTACATCATATCCAAAAATTTCAGTAAGTGATCTGTAGTTTAAATACACAACTACATGTGTGTATTAGTACTTACGCACCATTGTTACACAATTTTTGCTAAAAATGCGAGTTATTTTGCCAGACTTCAAACATTAGTTAAGACCTATTACATATGTTTCTTATAAAAATCTTATAATAAGTGTCTTGATCTTTAAAGCAGTGTATCTGATGATTCGCGACACATGAATAAACTATAGTAAATCAGTAAATCTTTCAAGTATCTAAGAAATTATTCGCAAATTGAAATAATTTCATGCGCAATTCTAGTAGAATGTGTCATAAATACTTAACGTTTAGCTTGAATACAAGTTTATTCAACGAATTTTTCATTAATCCAATGAAATCTAAGTTTCGTATTCGAATTATTCATCCATTACAGAATATTTATAATTTTAGATTATTTATTCCTGCGAATTAATACGTGTGAAATAATATTACAATACTTGTGTACATATTTCTGTACTACATACATACGTAAATATTTTTTAATGAATATTTTTAAACAGGCCACCTGATTCCTGACATTTCAAATTCTTCCCCTGCAAAAATTCGCCTTGAAAAAATGGACACTCCAGACGCGCAAGAAATCGCACTCAATAATCCGATTGTAAGCGAAATCAATTTAAATATTAATTACGGTTTAACTTAACCTAAAATTTATTCATAATTTAACTTAATTTCATTTAAACAATTTAAGTAATTTTTTAAAAAAACATTCCAACCAATAGTTTAAAACGAAACCTATTTTTCAACTTTTTACAGATTTTGACTGAAATACTAAAGCAGACTTCCGTCCAGTTGCGAGATGCCCGACTCGTGTCCAAATTTTGGAACGACATCGTTCTCTCCCTTCCTAATACGAGACTTACCTTTTGTTTGAACGACGTAGACGACGAATACGCAGAAGACGAGGAATACACCGATGAAGATTTGCACACCCACCGATTGCACTTTTTCGAAATATGCTCCACTCTAAATAAACGACTTTCTAAACGGATTTCTGCCGAGTTTGACACCAGCATGAAATATGGCACGGAAGAACCTGCTGCTCCTGCCATCTACTCTTTCGGCGCTAAGCTGACGCACGTTTCTGCCTTGTTTAGTGATACCATCCAAACTTTGGAAATTTCCATTTGTATCGTGAATTTTTTAAAGTACGTTTATCAAGCGTTAAAAAATTCCTGTCCGAATTTGACCCAGCTACAAATTTCGTGTGAAGAAGTCGAAAGTCTCAATACGCCATTTCAGCTCGGCACGATAACGGCAAAACCAAGGTTGACGATTTTCTCGCTAGATTACGCTGTAGACGGGGACCGCACGTGCATATCTGGTCTTACCAGTCTTGTCCAGGAGATCATAAACGCCTCCCCAAATTTAAAAGAGGTCACTTTTCCGTGGGGATGCCATCCCGATTTGGCTCATTCTAAATGCCTCGATTCCTTAAGGATCGCTCTGAGTGAACTTAGCGAAGAGAAGGATATCGTACCATTTAACGGTTCAGAACTGTGGCGCATGTTGAATCAAGTCGGTGACCAATTGGTTTCCCTATTTTTTGGGGAGAACAACGAAATTCAGGATATTTCCGGCCTCGGAAGATGGAAGCGGATCGAATTCGGCTTGCCGAAAATTATGCCGAAATTGAAAATGTATCGAAACCTGTTTGTCGACGTTTTTGAGTGTACCGATATCTTGAAAAATATTGAAAAAATGCCTGTTCTGAACACGCTCGTGCTGGGAAAGACAACTGCGACCAAGTCGACGAGTTTGCATGACATGTTGCAAACTATTTTCAACTCGGGCAAGATTTTGGGAAACGTTAGGAACTTAAAGATTATTGAGATGCATGATCCCACACTTTTGGAACACTCTCCAAATACGTCTAAAACGGTCAAAACAAAAAATTCGGCATCTTTGGCCGTTTATCTCATCCCCGTTGCGCCGTGGCCTGACGACCTTCAACGCCCATCTTTGACACGTTGGCGAAAACCGCATGTCGAAACACGAAATCATTCTTAAGTTATAGTGGATACAGACGGACGGACGGACAAGACATTTCCGTCTAAGTGGTTTTAGTGGTTTTCACCCCTTAATAATCGGCCCTTTTAAGGTCCACCACATTTCCGAAGAGCAATTGTTGAAAATTATTTTTTGTCATACCCAAATTTCCCATACCTAAAATTCTGCATACCCAAATATACCGCTACCCATATTTCCGAGACCAAAATTTCTGCAGACCGAAAGTTCCGATACCCATATTTCCTTATACCCAAATTTCCATACCCAAATTTCCGAGACCCAAATTTCCATACCCAAATTTCCGGGAATCACAGCAATTGCAAATGTACATATGTACATACTTACTTACTTTCAGAATGCTCATTACTTGGGATACATTTTTGTGGAAAAATAAAACTTCAAGCCACAATATCATGTTTTAAATCGAAGCTGAAGTCGTGAATTCTGACCTAAGGTAAACCCCGCACAGCGAAAAGCTTCATGAGTAAGGCAACAAAGCCAATCATAGGAAACATCAAGGACCATGCATTCTCCACGTGGCAGCTTTGTAATAACTTTGACATCTTCAATAAGTTATACATATGTACATATATATGTAATTAACAGTGCAGAAATAGGACGGTTCAACGTAAATGTAGATCCCATCCTCAAAATCGACCACATCCTTTATGCAGACTCCCACAATAGTTTGCATCCACAGTTAACTGAACTTCAACCTTGAGACGGGAAGCATTGAATAATTTCACTTTCTTAGTCAACATGTGTGATCTGCTGCTGAATAGATTATTTGCAATTATTTAAGTAAATAAACCTACATATTCGTCAATTTCAAAGAAAAGTTAACCGGGTGCAGAAACCTTGGTGTTGGAATTCTGTATAAGTATGTGTAAAGTAGTTTAATTGATTTTTTAATTGATACACATTTCAAAATATTTTTTTCTCTTTAATAAAATTCAGAATTCACCATTAATTTTTATCCAAATATGTATACCGCCCCCGAGGTAACTCCCCTGCCACAAATTGGTTGAATCGTCACACACTGACCAAGTGAGTATCGCATCTTGCAAGATAAATATGCATGCATAATTTAAAAAATACTTCTTTTCACAGTTTAAAATTAGTGGTGGATACCAAGGCTGAATCGAAAAACTTAAATATTGCTGCCCAATACGAAAATACCCAACAAAGGTCGTTTTGTCCGTCGAACTAAATATCTCCGTCTGATGAAGAATGGAATCTCGAGGGGGCCGAAGTGTGCAAGAGGTTGCACTAAATAATCCAATCGTAAGCCAAAGAAAACACATTTTTTAAACCGTTCCAAGTAGGAAACGTTCTTCACTTATAAATGAAGTAATAGTGACACTTATGTCACTATTACTGCAAGGCAAGGGGTTGCAACCCCTTGCCTTGCACAGTGCGAAATGTTAATGAGAAGGTTTGGCCAAAATTCTACGGACACTTTTCTGAACATGTTTCACCATATTCCGATGCATTTTGGGTAGTATGAAGGCTCATAAAAGTTTCGACAAGCCACACCCACTTTGGGTGGGGTATTTTCGCAGTGGGATTAGAGTCAATCGCCATATGCCAAAACATAGCCCATGCAATTGTGCATATACAGTAAAAATTTCAACCAAATCGGTCCATAAACAAAAAAGTTATTAGCGCGGGAACCTCGGCGAACGTCAAAAATCGCCAAATTTGGGGGCGTGGTTCTCCAAATGGCGCAACGATAGAAGGCTGCAAATGGTTGAAAACAGTGAACACCCACCAGATCTACATTTTCCAAAAAGAACGGAGGTTCTATATCTGCGGCTTTCCTAGACATAAGCCCGGGAACATTGGAAAAAATCATGTCGAAATTGTCCAAAACTGGCGAAGTTCAACATGACGTAGAGTAGTAAAAATCGATATCTACGTTCACCCAACATATATGCATAGACCAACCGGTTGGTCTATGCATATATGTAGGCCCCAACAATGGAAACTTTTTCAAGCTACACCGGGATTGTCTAACGGGTTATAACAAAAAATTAAGCCGAAAAATTGGAAATCACGTGGCGCTTGTCATTCTGTTGAATGGCCCATTCAAGAATAATATTTATGGCAAATTTCCAAAAGTAAAGTTTCTCTCCCTTCTCTTCCACGAGGCCAAGACGCTCTTGGATACTGTGATCCCAATATTTTTCTTCACAAGGCAATTTAACGGAATGAAAAGCGCCATGTGATTCCTAACTTTTGGATTGCTCTGTTGACATACTCGTTTCACAATCCCTGTTAGCTTGAAAAACGTTCTATTGTACAACATCGTGTGTAACACATATTAGAGGGGAAGGGGAGTCTACGAGATTGCGATTGTTGCACTTCATAATTCGTGAACGTCCACTTAAATATTTCCTTTAAAAAATAAGTGAATTTTTCCTACATTTTCCAGATTTTGACCGAAATATTAAAACAGCCCTCAACTTCTTTACGAGCTGCACGGCTCGTCTCCACATTTTGGTACGATATAGTTCTCTCCCTCCCAAATACAAAACTAGCATTCAAGTTGTGGGACAAATACTCCGAAAAGGATGAGAAAAACGACCAAGACTTTGCAAAAGACCCATTTTACTTTTTCGAAATATGTTCCACTTTAGACAAGCGACTCGCCAAACGGATTACCGCCTTCTGCTACACCGCCACAATAGACGATACTAAATCTACTCCTCGCATATACTCTTTCGGCGCCAAGCTGATGCACATTTGCGACAAGTTTAGCGACATCGTGCAAACCTTGGAGATTACAATCTTTAACGAGCACTGCTTAAAATATATCCACCACTCCCTAAGAAATTTCTGCCCCAATTTAAAAGGGTTACGAATTTGGTGTATGTCTAGTAACGTGGAGATTCCTGTAGCACCAATTTTGCCGGATCCCCTCCCCACGAAATCTAGCTTGTCCTTATTCACGATAGGTTACCATGTACCTGCGGAGGACCGCCCGTTTGTCACCAATTTTTGTCAGGGGGTTATTAACGCTTCACCAAATTTAAAAGTGGTCACCCTTCCGTAGGGATTCCATCCAGATTTGTCCCACTCTAAACGTCTCAATTCTTTAACGGTAGCATTAAAGAATTTTGAACCGATGGACATGGTTCACTTGAATGTTTCAGAACTTTCCCGTATGCTGAATCAAGTCGGGGACCAATTAGTCACCTTATCTTTGGGCAAAATCAATGAGCGCATTCTCTCTTACAAAACCTGGCATCGGATACAATTCAGTTTGCCGAGAATGATGCCGAAATTGAAAAAGTCTCAAATGATGGTCGACATTTTTGAGTGTACCGATATTCTGAAAGATATCGAAAAAATGCCCGTTCTCAAAATGCTAGAACTTGGAAAGAGCACTGCGACAAAGTCGACATGTTTGAATGAAATTTTACAAACTATTTGCAACTCGGGAAAGATTTTGGGTAGCGTGAGAAGTTTGACGATACTTCAGATGCATGACGCCACACTTTTGAAGGGATTGAAGACGGCTTTTCCCAACTTGGAGAGTTTGGCGGTGAAAACGTTCGGCAAGATGGGTGAGGCCGGGGCCGTGAGTGGGATGGAGTTGGGGGTGGTTCTTAAGGGCTGTACGGGTGGTTGGGAGCGATTGAAACACTTGAGTTTAATGTTACCAAAGTATTCGACAAAAAAGGTGGATGTCGTTAAGGCTCTTCTGGATTCAAAGGACCTGTATCAAGGTGAGTGTCAGCATTAGTGCTGACACACTCTTAAACTCTTGGCTTTAAACTCTTTCACAAAACGGATTTTTTAACAAAATTTCTCCTGGGTAGGATGTCGATTTCGCAATTACACCGGGTAGTAACCAATTAAAATTTTCAATAAAAAGACGAATATTTATTTTAACTGGTTTCGGGATTTTAACGAAAAACACTTTTTAACATTGGTCGGTATAGGGTAAATTCCAAAATTTGTGAAGAATTTTTTTAAATCCACTTTTACCATCGAGTTTTCCACAAAATATCGAAGAAATACTTATAAATATTTTGATCAGGGAATTAATGCCGTACACAAGTTTGTGTATTTCGTCCCCACATGAAATAAAATTATTGCACAATGTGTGTCCTTAAAGGTTAATTTTCATGTTAAAGGCCTGACCACTTTTAAAGTTTGGGGAATCAGAAGCTCGCCACATGATTTAATGGAGGATGAAATGGATCTGTTTAAGCAGCTGCTCATTGCAATGGATGTGATGGACAAGGTCACAATTTGGAATATGAAGGCTAGTTATCATAATTTTGCAATTAAAATTTTTGTAGAGTTTTATTCCAAATTTATTTCATCAATTATATTCCTGGAAATGCAAATAATTTTTACTTATTCTTTTATTACAGTTTAGCAAAGAATCTGTCAAAAACATATTGGGATTTATGACGTGGAACAAACTGTCCGTGTCCAAGTTCAGGATGTTTGGCACCTGCCGGCGATTGATTAAGGCCACGGTTTAAGCCGCATTTAATATTTTATATAGATACATAATTAGCAGTATTAATTATGATACTAATTAGAATATATATTTACTAGTGTTAGGTTATGTATGTACGTACAGATCGTATTTTCCATTTCAATAAATTTATTCCCAGAGAGTATCCAGAAATATTTATTTTCAGTGCAATAAAAATGTTATGCATGTCGCATAACCAGTACAATTTATGTAAAAACGTACAATTTATTTACTATAGAACAGAACTTAGACTGCGTTTATTTTCAGACGAGTATAACATTATTTTGATTAGCGTATATACATTACATACATTCATAATTAAACAAATGCTTATCAGGGTAATATTCATTTAAATACGTAAGACGTACCTAATTATACATACATACGTATACATTTTCATGCAAAGTGCCACTCCATCTGTGATCATTCAAGTCTTTGAACCCCTTTTTTTTGAAGGGATCTTTATTCCGATGCCACGACTGCCACGAGACAAACTTATGTACATAAACAGGTACATGCCTATGTATATTTGCATAATATGTACATATATAGGGAAGTGCGCCTAGCGGATGAGACTGGCATAAAAACGTGAATATCTCTAAATATAGCAGACTGGGTTTACTAAAAATTTACGATGATAAAGTAGTGACCCTACCCTACAACCACCATCAACCATAGTTTGCTAGGTTTCGTGTGTGGCTTCCACAACCAGTTTCTTCATGAAAACTCCCAAAAAATTTTTCTCACCCATCTGGAGCTAGCTTGCTATAACATTCTGTTGAATCCTGTCCATCCATTCGGTGTTTCTGATTAAGTAGGATATTAGCTTTCAAAATCTGTCCCTACTTTTTCAATGTGACCACATCGGGGAAAGTTTGGGGCAATTTCCTCTCGGCAAAAAAATCATAATTTTTTAACTTTTTGGCAAGTTTTAGGAATTTTGACTTATTGACAGCGAGTTACATTCAGCCAAAAAATAATTTTCTGCAGAAGATGATGACCAATGACCATGGATTCCAAAATTCATTTGGTCCAGTTTTTCGTGTACGTATTTTGGTCAGTGGGGTCATTTATAGTGAAGAATTTAGGGTCATTTCTTTTCTGACAAATCCCTGAATTTTTTGGGAAACTTGCTTGTCACTTTTAATTTGAAGCCATATCAGACTTCCTGACCCTTGACTGAATAGAAAACCGGCCATTTGAAAATTCGGCTAAATTCTATTCTGGTCATCCACATGAGTTTAGTTTCGTGCATATTTTTTGGAAAATTTTATGTAAAGTGTCCGCTTTAAATTCGACCTAAAAAAGTTGTGAGCATTATTTAAAGTAATACATCATGATTTTTTAAGTCAACATAAGTTTGTCTAAAACTTCAACAAAAAATTTTATTTTTAAATTCGCATGCATAGCCACACGGCATTTTTCGACCAGTCTCATCCGCTAGGCGCACTTCCCTAAACACGTCGAGAAAGAAAGTGTGTATGCAAGTCTTATATTATATAACTCTATGATGCAAGTACAGTTGATTCACACATGTTGATGTACATACATACATACGTACAGTGTTACATATACACTCACTTGAAGAATTAACCAATTTTTAAAGATTTTCATGTACATAGTTTAATGAAGTAATTTACAATATACGCAAATTTTCGATAAGTACAAAACCAAGAGTTTAAACATATGTACATATGTATAACTTGTTACAAAATTTGTGTTCCAGTTAAAACGTAAGTAAGACATGTTAAAGAATTGTTTCAATAATAAATATTTATGAATAAATATATTTAAATACCCACTTCGCAAATTGAAATACTTTCATATCTATTTTCTGTATGTATGTAATTCCAGTAATAGATAATATCTATTACTGGTATTACAAATTAAATTGTATGAATTTTGTATATTTATACAATGAATGGATAGAGAATTTTATTCTAATAGTTTGCCATTTATGGAACAAGTGTGTACATATTTATCATTTCCGATTATGGTTATGAACATGAAATAAATTGCAAAATAAAATTATTTAGTACTTATGTATCATCTAAATAGAACATATATTATACTAAATATGTCGTACATACATACATACATGTACATAAATATTTTCTTATTGATTAATAATCAATGATTATTTGCAAATATGTAGGCAAATGTGCATCAAGTTTTGAACACTTCCCTTCCAAAAATTCGACCCGGAAGAAATGGAGACTCCACAAGATCTCGCACTAAATAATCCAATTGTAAGCGAAAATGACAAGTAATTTTTTAAGATATTCAAAAAAATTAGTTTTAAAATAAAATATTATTCCAACTATTTTCAGATTTTGACCGAAATATTAAAACAGACCTCAATTCCTTTGCGAAATGCCCGACTCGTCTGCAAATTTTGGAACGATATTGTTCTCTCCCTGCCAAATAGAAGACTTGCCTTTTCCCTGAGGGATGAATACACCGAAGACGACGAGCAAGAAGACACATATTTAAAAACCGACCCATTCCACTTTTTCGGAATATGTTCCACTTTAGATAAGCGCCTCGCGAAACGGATCAGCGCCACATTTGACACCTGTGAGATCGACGAATTTGAAACTCTTCCTTGCTACATTTACTACTTCGGTGCAAAGCTGATGAACCTTTGCGACAAGTTTAACGACATCGTGCAAATTTTGGAGATTACCATTTATAGCCATATCTGTTTCAAATACATTTATCAAGCCTTGCAAAATTCCTGCCCGAATTTGACCGAGTTGCGAATCACTTGTGACATTCGGAGTTTCGAGATACCCCACAATCAGCCCAGGGTGCTAACCGCGAAGCCTAGGTTGACATTGTTCGCGTTAAATTGCAATATGTCCGAGAGGGATGAAACCCCCTCATTTCTTAACAGTTTTTCTCAGGCGGTTGTTAACGTGGCGGCAAATTTAAGGGAGGTCACCCTTCCGTGGGGATGTCATCCCGATTTGTCCCCCTCTAAATGTCTCGACTCCTTAAGGATCGCACTGGGTGATGAATTTGAGGAAAAGGATATCGTCCACTTTCAAGTTTCTGACCTTTCTCGTATGCTAAATCAAGTCACTGACCAGTTAGTAGCCCTGTCCATTATGAAGGGCAGTGGATCTTGGGGCTATTTCAAGCCAGGAACCTGGAACCGGATACCGTTCAGTTTGCCGAGACCCATGCCGAAATTGAAAACGTATCGAAACATGATGGTCGACATTTTTGAGTGTACGGATATCTTGAAAGATATCGAAAAAATGCCGGGTCTAAAAAACCTCGTGCTTGGAAAGACAGGTACAATAAGGTCGACGTGTTTGCACGAAATGTTGGAAACTATTTGTAACTCGGGCAAGATTTTGGGAAACGTGACAACCGTAACGATTATTGAGATGCATGACCCCACGCTTTTGGAAGGAATTAAGACGGCTTTTCCTAATTTGGAGAGCTTGGCGTTGAATACGTACAACGAGAGGGATTACGCTGGAGCCGTGAGTGGGATGGAGTTGGGTGTGGTTCTGAAGGCGTGTACGAGTGAGTTGGGGAGGTTGAAGCACTTGAGTATTAGGCTGCCATCGTATCCAGAGCAAATGATGGATGTCATTAAGGCTCTGCTGGATTCGAGGGACTTGTATCAAGGTGAGTTAGTTGAAATTGCGAAATTAGGTTTTTACACTAAACAAAATTGGCATAAATGTATGTATATGTTATTAGCGTAACGAGAAAATTCGGAACGTTTATGACAGAATTTTGTACAAAACCCTCTAATTCTCAATCTCCCTAAGTAAGACATTCTAATTTTAAAATACTGAGTGCATTCACAATTGCCTGAGTGTCATAAAATATTTAATTCACGAAGAAAGTGTCAAGTTTCATAAAAATCGCAAGTTGCGATTCGCAACCTTCGTAACGTGATTTTTGTTGGTAAAACCTAACCTCGCTTACAGAATCGCTGGAATTTCATTAGTCTTTTAGAGATTTTTTACTGAGCGCACAGAAGAACCAATAAAATTCAAAACCACACCCTTGGTTCAGTTTACACACTCATGAATCGCTCAATGGTTACAAAGGACTATTACCAAATCAAATATAATTTGACATGTTAAAAAAATGTTTCATAAAGAATTTTGGTCTATTCTCATAATTTGACATGCTTACATTCATGCATATGTACGTATATTTCTTACTTTGTATTACAAAGCAAAGTACTTATTTTCAGTTATTTCACAATGAATAAGTTTGATTAAAATTCACTAAATATTGAGCAATGACGCAACCGGTTGTTTAAACTTTATATAATGAAAGTTAAGATTTACCCTACGTTAAAGGATTTTAGCTCAACCTTGAGTAAATTTTACCTTTGTCGGGTAAATTTTTCACAAACAGTTGTATTTTACTCAAGTTTATTTAGAGTGTACCTTTAATTTCCGTCTTAACTTAAACTTCAGGGCTGAAAACGTTTAAACTTTTCGAGACGAGATTCAATACGTTGAAACATGATTTGACGGAGGACGAAATGGATCTGTTTAAGCAACTGCTCTTAGCAATGAATGTGATGGACAAAGTCACCATTTGGAATGTTAAGGCGAGTTACTTTCTATGCTCATCCCTAATTATTTAATATTTAATACTTACTTCCATAACTATCAGTGGAAGACATTTCTATTCATTTTATTTACAGTTTGGCGAAGAATCAATGCGAAATATTTTAACTTTTATGACGTCGGAGAAATTGCCTGTCTCAAAATTTATGATGTTTGGAGGATGGGCGTATCGTGCCACGGACCGCGATTGATCGGAATTTTATTTAGCTTTTTATTTGAATAGATCAGATTTAATGTTTTGTATTATTTGTAACTTTTATCTTGCTTATGTATGTTTCTATTTCGCACTATATTTAGGTTTCATTACTACACTCTTGAAAATAATGTTACCTTCTTTTGAAAATAATGTTACCTTGAAAATAATGTTACCTGTTACCTTCTATGTTTACGAAGTAAATGCATTTTCAAGTTTGAATTAACTTCACTAAAAATATGTAGCACCTTACTTCAGATTGGCCAAGAACACTTTTCTACGCAGGATGTTTTGTACTTATGTAAGCATTTGATAACCACACAATATAATTCAGCAAGATACATGATTGAACTTAAACACCTGGGACCATGCATTCCTCACGCGGTAAATTTTTGGTAAATAGTTTTAGGTAAATATGTACCTTCCTTGCTCACAACTCGAATCAACAAGTCCTTAGTTTGCGTTCGATGAATCGTGTATCTACTAACCATACAATACAATTGAGACAAGATACAAATACCCACGGGTAAAGTTTCATGAACAAAGAAACTAGTAGAGGCTCTAAGGGCCATGCATACCTCAAGTGGTAGATTCTTGATAATGTCGACTCCTTCGATAAGCTATGATTATTATTGAGATGATAAAACGGCTCGACATACAGGGTGTTAATAAAGTCCGATCCCATTTTTCCTGTAAAAAAGTGAAGGCTAGTATAAAAAAAAACTACCCGTGATACTTACAAAAAATGTTCGACATATTTACCTTAGTATTTGGTCTTGTTACCATTTACTTTAACCATGCCCTCAACTCTTTGTTTAAGGCTCTGTGCTAATTTTTCCAATGTGCCTCTGGAAATCGAATTCCATACATCTTGAACTTTTTTTTACTAGCTCTTCCCTCGTCCGGGGTTGTGGCTCTTTGTATACATTTTCCTTAAGTATGGACCACTGGTTCTTCAGGGGATTCAAATCTGGGCCGTTAGCGGCCCACACCCCCTTGCTCCAGACCGTTGAAACTTGCGTCTTGATGAGACTCAAACTCGCTTTTGCTGTATGGGCTATAGCACCATCCTGCATGAAAACTATTTTTCTTTCATTCGGAAATATTTCCTTGTTCCCCATGCTATCGAAATAGATAGGTAATATTTTTTCCATATAATGCTTTGCATTGACTGATTGGCCTTTTGGTATGATATGTAGAGGGGTCACGCAACGTGCACAAAATCCACCCGCTACCATAACTTTAAGCCCGAATTTTGGGATCGCTCTTGATGGTACATCCGATTTGTTTTCTGTCCTGTAACGAACATTTTGTTGGTTCAATTTTGGATATAGTTCAATAATAGATTCGTCAGTCCAAAGGATGTGACTGCGCAATTCTTCACCAAGTCTTTTTTCACTCAAATGGGCACTTTTCTGAAGGAGTTCTTCAAATTTCAGACGGTCATCGATATATTTTTGTGACATGAGAGGTTTTTTTGGTTAGTTTGTAAGCTGTGTGACCCCACTTCGTAGTTTTCACAAATTTTTGCACGGTCACACAGTTAATTTGCTTCTTCTTCTCTTTATAGCGTTTTGAGTCATTTAACTCCCTTGCTCAATTACGTAATGAACTACCGGTTTTCTTGCAAAGTCTGTTTTTAATCATTCTTTTTGTGGTAGGTGACACCTTTCTGGGTCGCCCTGGTCGCTTTTTGTCGTGGACAAAATTTTTATTCTTCCATTTCCAAACAGTTCTGCGGCTGCAGCCCAATTTTTGCACAATTTCTGTAGGTTTAAGCCCCTGCTGATGCAATGTTTGTATCTCAACTCTAAGATGCTCATGACTTACACGTTTAGTTGTTCCTCCCATGGTAAAAATTTGAAATAAATAACTTCACTGGTTCAAAAGTTCCAGCTGAATTTGTAACAACCACGCTCCAAAAAATGCATGGGATCGGACTTTATTAACACCCTTTATGTATGTGTACCCTTTTCAAAATCCACCACGTACTTTATGCAAGCTACGACGTGAGTTAAACTGAAGTCCACCCTGGGATTGGGAACCGAGGCTGCATGGCACAATGTATTATTCTTCGTTAAGGTGTTGCAAAATTCCCAGTGGGTGTAACCCCTTCAATATATACATATTTCTGTTCAGGGGAACAGAATCAAGGCATTCCAGAAGTTTTTAACGACCACACCCCCTGAGGGGCGAGATAGCCACCAAGGAGGTGTGGTTCTGGAGTTTTAATATTTTCGGAATAAGTAACTCATGCTTACTCTAAATCCAAAATTTGGAGGACTTAAAAAATTTTCCGGGCAAGATATAGCTATTTATGTGTCCCAGAACGTGCGTTTTCGGCGTACTTCGAGTGGGTGTGATACATTCAGCCGGGGATACGTCGTTCTTCCGGCTATCGACTGTCATGGAGGAGTACCATGAGTTGTATAAAAAGGTTTGGTCATCGTTAATATTCCACAAAAGTTTCGTTAGACTTGATTCGTGCATTCATTTTTTGTACGTTAAAATAGCTTGACACTTAACTTCACCGACCAGTCCATATACTATGTAGGGTATGGTCGGTTAGGAAAGCAACCTTTGAAAAATATATTGATTTGTATGAAAGAAAAATTGCCACAGAGTTGAAACGGGGAAGGTGTGTAGTCCATGCGATTGACTACCCAAATCAGAAAACCGGATGTTGATATCTCGACTAGTTCAAAAATGACCATACTAATAGACTATTAGTAATAGTGTGGGAAGGATACTAAAGCCAGTGAAGGTCGAAGTTCTGTGAGGACGGAGTCTATGGTCGACCCCATCCTCATCAATCCCCTCCCTCTCCCCCTCCTTGGTTGCAGGAGCATGGCCAGACCACTACTCCGGAAACCAAGCGTCTCCGTCGCCATTGCTCTCATCCTGGCTGCCACGCCACTCTCTCCTCAGTCCCGCACCACCTCGACGCGACTACGCATCTAAATTGTAGTCGCTGCGCGACTCACCTCCAAACTTCCCAAAGTTTCTGGGAAGATAATTCTTTGTCAATCTCTCAATCTCTCTCTCTCTCTTATAAATTCACACACACACATAAAGTACACACCCACACATAATATATATATTTAGTTAACAATTTAGTAGTGTTATAAAAACTTACCTGTTTAATAAATAGTGCTGTTAGTAAGAAACTATAAATTGTGCAGTAAGGAACATTATTGGGTGTCATGGAATCTTCATAAATTGTATTCCTCCATATTGTGCACGTACACTAAACTTGGACAGTTAAATACGCATACGCCCCTATATTGTGCATCACGGAGTGTTCTACCACAGTGTCGCAGTAGAACCACTCCCCCGTCCCCTCCTTTTGTGGTGGTGACCCCACCACGGGCCCTAACGTAGCTGAAGAGGTCCTCTATCCGACAGTATGGGTGTTCTCATTGTGGGATGCTTGTAACGACCCCCACCACACCCCAAAAGTGGACAAATACGGTCCCTTCCTCATCATCATCATCCGGCCCTCTCTCAGCAGCATCATCAATCATCCCCTCATCCTAAATTAATAAGAAGGAATTGAATAAGGATATCGTGGGATCCCCGGGGGTTCCTGTACGAGGTGTCATCCCCCCGTCCCCCAGAGGTATAATCCCCCCGAGGACCCCGACCCTTAACAACAAACCCTTCAGTTCTACGCTGGGCTATAAAGGTTGAAAACTACAATTCAGGAAAATATTACATGTATATAACACGCTCATCGTACCGGCCCTTTAAAATTGAAGAAACATCACGGCTTAGATAACAATAATATCCGGCATTGTGAGCATGGTAACAAATAAAATTGTGTGTACAGCCAAAATCAATTAAAATTCTAAAATTAGTCTCTAATAATACTGACAAAATTGCTTGTAAAAATCCTCACTGCTAACAACTCAGCAAATCCATAATTTGCTCTAAATCACCATGAAATACAATTGTAAAATGATTAAGGATGGAGCTTGTCCGTGTCAAGCGAATATATGTCATATTTGTCATATTTGTCATATATGTCATATTTGTCAATTTGTCCGTCCAATTTGTCACGATTCCAATATGTCCGACATTTATGACAAATATGACGGACAAATTGGACAAATTGGACAAATCCGACATTTTGTCTCAATACTGCCCTTTATATGGGAATTTGTAATTGAGTGCTTTGGAATGCCTCATTGTGAAGAAACTAAACGTTCGTACATACATTGATTTAATTTGATTAACTAAGCTAGGAAATTTCTTAAAAATCCATCCATGGAGTTCGTAGAGTAAGATGTTGCGGGTTCAAGAGTTGTCTAAATCTTCAAATAAGGGTACAACAGCAACAGTAATCGACACAAGTGCACTTAATTAATTGATTTAATTAAGTTACCTATTATATTACTTGTCATTTGTCAATTGTTTCTAATTTTACCAATTACCATTTTATCAATGGTATAGATATAACTAACTGTTTACATCAGCTACCCAATGTTTGCATTAATATTTCCTATGTGGACTATTTGATAGCCCTAATTGAATGTAGGATGACCACATTTGCGACGGCCACTCCCCCTCATGGTGATGAAAGCTACAGAAGTCCAACTAAACTCTAACTTCAAAAATCCACCAAAAATCTTATTTTGCTCGGATGTTGATAAAATTTGCATTTTTGTTATCTCAGATACTTCTGATCATATCCAGTAGATGTCTTCACTTTTTTGAAATTTTGAATTTTTTCAAATAATTCGTCGGCTGTGGTATATACCAACATTCCGAAAACTTCAGAACGTAGAGAAATCTACTGGATATAATCACAGAAGTCTCTGGGGTCACAACTTTTATCAAAATCCAAGCAAAATATTGAATTTTTGGTGATTTTTAAAGTTGCTTTCATAACTTTGAGGAGGTGTGGTGGGCGCAAATGTGGCCATGACATCAATCCACTTTAGGTTTATCATACATTCGCCTAGGGTCACCACATATGCAAAAGGCATCGCGATCAGAGGGGGGTTTGTAGAGGGTCTCTCCTCCTCAGCATTGCTTATCTGTAGTTGCTATTTTGATTTGGGAATTTTGTGTAAATCAAGTCCAACTAAATGCTATTAGAATCTCACATTGCCGGAGTCGAGTCGAGCAACGAAATGAGATTTTTATATTTTGCTTAACGTAAATGTCAATTGCGCTGACAAATGTTCATTGAGAAATTCAATTTGTCATAAATGTCCAATTTGTCCAAGATTTAAATGTCGGACAAATTGGAGATTTATGACATTTTGAATTTGTCATATCTGTCATATTTGTCATATTTGTCACAAATTTTAAATGTCTGACAAATTGGACATTTATGACATGTCAATATGTCAATTTGTCAATGACATGTCATGACGGCACATCCCTAAAAATGATACAAATGCACACGGGAAAAGTTTCATGAACAAAGACACTAAGAAAAGCACTAGGGACCATGCATACCTCACGTTGAAGATTATGAAATTTTGTTGACTCCTTCAATAATATATTAACATTGCAATGATAGAACGGCTGAAGAAATGCACACAAAACTCAAAATCGGCAACATGCTTTACGCAGGCTCCCATATGAGTTTTATACGTCCAGTCATCCCCAGGATAGGGAATGCTTGAATTCAATTTGACTCAACATGTGTGCTGTGCAAACAAATAAAAATTTCGTCATCGTTAATATTTGCAGTAGCATAAAATATTGCGAAATATTCTCCAAGTTCAAGGAAGGCAAAAGTGCAGAACACTTGTTATCGGTATTGTATGTACATACTTATAAATAAAGGTTACCCTATTTTTCTTTAATACACATTCAAAAGAGGTAAATATCGCTCATTTGTCTTTCCTTAGTGTAAATATTTCTGTAAACAATGGAATCCCAAGGGGAAAGAAGTGTGCAAGATGTTGCACTCAATAATCCAATTGTAAGTCAAAAAGGAATTTTTAACTGTTAGTTTACAAACAAATATATGAATGTTTCAACTGTATCTATAAATTTGACATACAAAAATTCCGTGCCATAATTGTGTATTTATGTTCATGTTGCACAAAGTGCATACTGGAGGAGACATAATAACGCATACCCAACGAATATAAAAGAGATATCTAACTATTGTCAAATCCGCAGCAGATCAAAATATTGCACAAAACTTATTAATTCATAATTATTACTTGATTTTAACATATCAGCTACATATCTACAATCTACATATGTGAGAAGAAAAATTTCTGATTACTGAGAAGAAAATAATAATTTTTAAGCAGGGATTAAACACCAATGCTGATAAGCAGCTATGAATTTAAGAGACGGATTAATAACAAAACAGATTTGCAACATGAATTCTATTACATTTACTGTAACCATAGCATAGCTATGCATAGGTCGGAGTACTCCGGGCTTGGAGTACGTACTCGCGTACTCCGGAGGCCGGAGTACGCAAAATATCTGATCTAAACCAAAGAACCTGATAATAGATTACTTATTATGACTGATAACAACAGTGTGATATATATATCACACTGTGACAAAGACTATCTTTCAGTTACATATACATATATTTAAATATTTTGCTGTTCTCTAATAAATATCTACCCTAAGACATGGGAAATGTTGGGATAATTATTTACAAAAATAATAAATTTTCTACACAAGTCAATCAATAAAGTCCATAGTCTGAATTAATTCAAAATATTTTTTCAACTTTTTCCAGATTTTGACGCAAGTATTAAAACAGTCCTCAATCCGTTTGCGAAATGCCCGACTCGTCTGCAAATTTTGGAACGATATTGTTCTCTCACTTCCAGATACAAGACTTGCTGTTCGATTGAGGGACGTAGACCAGGAAGACGAGGAAGACGACAACGACGACGACGACGATGACGGTGACGAGGAGGAGGACGATGAAGATGACGACGACCAAGAGAAAGGCGACCCCGCCGACCCATTTCCGTTTTACGTACTTTGCTCCTCTCTAGATAAACGACTCGCGAAACGGGTTACCTCCATGTGTGGCCCCACCTACGCTAACGAGATCGATAGTACCCGTTGCATCTACTCTTTCGGCGGGAAGCTGATGTACTTCTGTGAAAAGTTTAGTGATACCGTGCAAATTTTAAAGATCACTATCCATGACGAAAAATGTTTAAAATACATTTCTCAAGCGTTAAAAAACTCCTGTCCGAATTTGAAAGAGTTGCGAATTAGCTGTACAGATGCTCGAAAGACGCAAATTGAGCCAGGGGTGCTCGCCGCAATGCCAAGATTGACCGTGTTTTCGCAAAGTTACGCGTTTCTAGGCTATATACAATTTCCCTACGAAGCTTCCTGGTTTCTCACCAGTTTTGCACAGGCTGTTGTTACCGCCGCGCCAAACTTGAGGGAGGTCACCCTTCCTTGGGGATATCATCCAGACCTGTCAAATTCGAAGTGTCTCGACTCCTTAACGATTGGACTGAATGAAACCGACGTACGGGAAGCGGTTCACTTTAACGTTTCAGAACTCTGGCACATGCTGAGTCAAGTCGGGAGCCAATTAGTCACCCTGTTTTTTGGCGAGACCAATCTACGTCATCGTGTTTTCCGCTCAAAAACATGGAACAAGATAGAATTCAGGTTACCGAGATCGATGCCAAAATTGAAAACGTATGGAAACCTGATGCTCGATGTTTTTGAGTGTACCGATATTTTGAAAGATTTCGAAAAAATGCCTGCCCTCAAAACGCTCACATTGGGAAGGACCACTGCGACAAGGTCGACGAGTCTGCATGAAACTTTGCAAACTATTTCCAGCTCTGACAAGAGTTTTGAAGGCGTGAAGTACTTAAGGATTATTGAGATGCATGATCCCGCACTTTTGGACGGATTGAAGACAGCCTTTCCCAACTTGGAGAGGTTGTCAGTGAGAACGCGTCACGCGGAAGATGTCGATGTCGCTGGTGGCGTGAGTGGGATGCAGTTGGGCGCTGTGCTCCAGGCGTGCGAGGGAGGTTGGGAGGGCTTGAAGCATTTGGAAGTGGGTTTGCCAAGGAATCCAGAGCGAATTGGGGACGTCATTAAGGCTCTGTTGGATTGCAGTAATTTGTATCAAGGTGAGAGAGTGCCAACTTTAACGTTGAGGGTATTCATTACTTCTTCTGATCACAAAGTAAGTTACGAAGGTTACGAGATCAGGGTAGGGAAACCCCTGGGGTTTTGCTGTTGAAAATCCATTCCGAGGGGTATAGAAAGTGCATATATGCTTTGTATATTTCAATTTTTTAAATTTCGCCACAGTAGAGGTTTTAGGACCGAAAAACCGTTTTTGCCAAAAAATTCATGTGGGCGTCAAAAAGGTCGTACGATAGCTCATTTTCTTCTTATTGGCTTGTAGTATCCAGTCAAAAATATTGAAAAGTAAAAAAAAATATCAATGAAGTCTTATTTTTACCCTCTCATTTGGAATTGTTAAAAATATTTCGACATTAGACTTGGTGGTGACATTAAAAATCGCCGAATTGTTCGCCACCCTTTATACAACTTACAATGGAGGCGCAAACCATGTTCAGCCCAGATTATTTTTTGACCATGTTAGTTTGGAAGAGCAAGTCTTTAGAAACAACATTTGGTTTGGCACTTGCGCAGATACGCAAAATTCAGCAAGTTATGGGCGCCACAAGTTCGCAAAAAGTGGTCGAGAGTGAGCTCGCTCTGGACTTTGCATCAAAAATCATGCGTTTTGCGAACTCGTGGCGCCCATAACGTGCTGAATTTTGCGCATCTGCGCAAGTGGTGAACCAAATGTTGTTTCGAGAGACTTGCTCTTCCAAACTAACATGGTCAAAAAATAATCTGGGCTGAACATGGTTTGCGCCTCCATTATTAGTTTATACAACTTCGTGCAGAGTTTCGAAATACTAAAAGTACGGGATCATATCGCAAAAAATACGTAGAGATGCATTCACTTACTTTTTGAGCTGACTGTATAATATATATCTTGAACATCCTTGTTTTTCAGGGCTGAAAACATTGAATATAATTCCCGAAGGGGATGAGTTGGAAGATGATTTAACAGAGGACGAAATGGATCTATTTAAGAAACTGCTCCTAGCAATGGATGTGATGGACGACGTCTGCATTTGGAATATAAACGTGAGTTAATTAACAGACATACATATGAGTATTTATGACTTGATTATTGCAATTAATTAACCGTTTACTTATATTCCCATCAATGTAAAAAATTGATAGATAACATTTTAATTTACAGTTTGGTGCAAAATCTATGACAAATATATTGGCATTTATGACGTCAAAAAAATTGTCCATGTCCAAGTTCAGGATGTTCTGGGGACAAGCGGAGCCTGCCCCGATTGATGACAATTTTGTATAAGACTCTCACGATTTACACCATATTGTCACTACTTTTGTACTATTTTTATCGTTTACTTTCATCTCGTACTATATTTTGGTCTCACTGCCACAGTTATATATATATAAGGTTACCTTTTGAAGTGCAAATAAACCATGAAGTCTATTAGAATAAAGTCAAGAAGCCCTTTTACATTGTTTTGATTTTAATTTATTTTGTTTTTCGATTAAGTCATCCCGTATTCATTCCCATATTTTGCATAAAATCGTAACAAATATGACTCGCATATACATATGTGAATATTATGTTACTCTTCAGTTATAAATTATTGCCGAAGTTACATATGTAATTTCATAGTTCATCCGTCTGTAACAATTGTAACATAAAACTGTTATAAGTCTAGTGACGTACATATGTATGTGCACACCTTAAATTTGTTTGATAATTATTCCGTTTTTAATTAGTGACCTAAGTACACCCACATTAGCATCCTTCTTCCTTCGACGAATTACATAATCATGTTACGTAACCAGTTATCCCATAATCTGTATTCATGAGTAAAAACTATACTACATTGTCACGACAATTAGCCGCAGATTTAATTAGATAATACTGCAAATTAGTCGTTGATTTCTCGACAACATGTAAATAAATCATTACCATGAACTCTCGCCTTCGTGTTAGAAATATGACGAAGCAATTAAGCCTGATTTCTCAGTGGTAAAATAATTCTGATTGTAACTGCTCATATCATGTTTATGTATGTATTTTCGGGCAAGCTTTTTTGGGAATTACATGGTGGCCATAAAGTTTCTGATGACTGCAAGCCTTCACGCAGAAGTTGCTCAAACTTTTCTGTTGTAGTGGTCTCGGTACTAATTTTTTCTCAAAATGTCCCCCAAACGTTCATCTTCATTTGTGGAAAAAGTTGTAAAAATAACTCAACGTTTGGATGAATCACAGGGTTTCTCAAAAAAGCCTCCAAAATTTAGGTTGCCTGAAATACCTTTAAGTTATGGAAGAACTGTAACTAAACACGGGACTAAATTCGTCCAGAGCGACCCACCCAACTCCCGCATATCGTTTGCAATACGGTTTTAAGAGGAATATGCCGAAAATCTGGTACTTTGATGATAAAGTGTGAAGCGGTAATAAATCAAACAGATCGATTTAATGGATTCGGGTAGAAAATTTGTCGTTGCACTATCTAGAACAATGTAAAAACATGTCCCTAAAGCCATATAGCTTTCAGGAGTTCCATAAAAACACTTTTTCCAAGAAAGACTTTCAACATCGAATTAATTTTGACGATTTTTCGAGAAAAACGGCTGCTTAAATGCATTTGTAAAGGTTCGAGAAATTTTGCATACGTACAAGAGCTAAATGTATGGTCATCCTGTCACAAATCCCTACTAGATTAGGTACTGAATCGTGAAGATAAAGGAGGTTTCTGATAAGAAGCTTCCAGAAAAATGAGTAGTATTAGCGGTTCATATTTCACTTTACTCTAGAGGCGCGACGGAATTTAGCTTCACTTTTTGTGGTCAAAATTTGGACTGATAGTTTTACAGTGACCTCGTTTTGTTAGTGCACTTTAATACTATGGAGTCCAGGCTACTTTTTCTAAATTCGAAGAAAATTTCATTTCAACAGGGTGGAGCACCAGCCCACACTTGAAATGCTACCACTCGCATTTTCAAACAACGGGCGTTTGCTATTTTGGGGAAGGGGGTGTGCCTCGGCAACAGCCTGGACACGAACCCATTTAAATATTGATGGCCCTCCTCAAAATCAAGATCTTCTACGAATCAGTTTTACGGGATAGTGCTTCCAAGACTCGAAGTTTTCAAAAAACTTTGAAAAAAAATCTCAAAACTGTTTTGAAAAATTGGTCAGAAATTTTCAGGACAAAACTTCAAGACACCTAAAATCGTCTGTACGACCCACAATAAATTAATGTATAACATACTATAACCGTTTTCGTTAATAAAATTTATTTCTTGCGAAAGAAACCATTTCTTGAGTTTATGCTTTGCCTCATCAGAAACTTTATGGCCACGATGTATATTTTATGTGTGGGATAAAATCATGAATACTCGATAATAACAATTTCATATTTAGTATTTACATGGAAATCATACTGGAGAAAATTTCAGCGATAACAAACAATTCATTGGCACAATTAATTCCTTGCTTAGCAAACAAAATAATTGTACTAATCTTATCATAATAATCGGGATTATCGATTAGAATGGTCTTAAACCTGATTGTCTTTCACCGACAATGTTGCCAATTAATTTTTATTGCGGGTAACTGTTCATAATTATTTGCGCAAGTTGGATAAACGAGTATGAATGGTATTTCATATCGCCTTTGTGGGCCATTCAATTTTACGAATTTGCAATAACGTCATGGTAAATTTCACCATTCGCTTAGAATGTTGACTAGGGGTTCCAGTCCCGGGATTTTTCGGGATTTTATTCCCGGGAATTCCTGGGAAACGGGATCCCGAAATCCCGGGATTTGAAGAACTGAAATCCCGGGATTTCGGGATTTTCAATTCGTCATTCAGAGCTGAAAATTACTTATAATTTACAATTTTAATAGCAATTTTACATTATTTTCGGTTATATGATGATTGGTAAGAAAAGTTTCGATGACGTAACCATACAAATTGATCCTGGACTCGAAAATCGAAATGTTTAACAATATGGTTAGCCACATTTTTCTAACCCGTATACATATGTACATATATTTATACATATCTAAATTATATAATTCAAAATGAAATTTATAGTTCAAGATCGAGCTTCAAATTCCCAATTTCGATGTTAGATTTTAACTTGAACTAAGCAAGATTATAATCATAAAATCTGAAATCAGTTATGCTCAAAAATGCTATTATGTTAGAAGTGAGTTCGAATTTTAGCCGATGAATTTAAAGCTAAATTTAATGCGTTTTGCACGAAGTGGTTCATATATTTGATCTTGAAATTTTTGAATTGCTAAACTTCATATCCAACCGAAGTTTTTGAATAATGGTTCGCAATTTAGGCAAAATAATTTAAGTACGTCAATTTGGGCATTTCGGGTTAACATTCTTGGTTAATTATTTAAGATTTCTGGAATGAAATTGTCAAACTTTTGCATATCACATATCACCTCTCAAAGATAGAGGGCGAAAATTGGGCTACGCCGAAATACACCGAGATTTAACATTTTCAATAGCAGGCAAAACCATATAATCGCTAATTTGTATTGCTACCATATTTATTTTGAGTTGACCAGAAAATAGCATACTTTATAATAATATTCATGTATGCACAGAGCCCGAAAACACATAAAGAGATATGTAAGTATTATAAATACGCTCAGGCGCTGTACTTTTATAGTCATGTACCTTTTTGTATACCCAAATTTGACTAATTTGAAGTTATAAGGTGATATTTGAATTTCGGGAAAAAATCCCGGGATTTCCCGGGATTTCTCACGGCCAAAACCGGGAATCCCGATTCCCGGGATTTCCAAAATCGTCCGGGATTGGGACCCCTAATGTTGACCACTTCATACAAGTCGTTGTTAATTCATCATCTCAAAATCTGTAAGCTATTGCAGTGCACTTGGGCCCGATGGGATGCCAATTTGGGTCAAATTGTGCCTCGAAATGGGTCAAAATTGGGCCTTCTCTATCAGAAATTTCAACTTATGGCGGGGCTTCTATACTCGATGGGAATAACTTTGAAAATTTCCAAAGGAAAAGACTCAATCGCAGAGAAAGCGCAAGGCCTCGTGTTCTTGATGCTTTTCTTTATCACGCTTCTAGCGAGATGGTACTGGCCACGATTAGGCGTGCTGAATGAACCTTGCAGAATGTTGAATGCGTGCCTCAGGTTTGAGAAGGTTCTCATCAAGGGTAACTAAAAATATTGAAAAGTTTGCGATCAAAACCATTACATAATTAAGGGAAAACTTTGCAGAAATTCGCCTCTAAAATCCCTAAGTTGCGTACAATCATTTTACAAACTACTGTTCATCCAATGTTAATAGTCGCAATTTCTTGGAAAATTTTATGAGAGTTTGGTTGCTAATTGAAAAATAAATAATCTGCCAGGTAACCTTTCAGAATTTCTTGCGAGTAATAATACTGGACGAACAGTAGTATTTAAAAAATGCAAATGTCATATAAATTATTTTACAAAAGTTTGCAAGCAAATTCTCCTTGCAAATATTTGAACCAGTTTTTAGGTTACGGATTTTATAAAGTTACAAACGACTGCGTTGAGTTGTCCAATTGAGTCATATATAAATTTAAAAATCATTGTTTTTTCTTCAATTCTGAAATCACGATAAGTTTTGTAATACCATTTTGACCAGAAGACAATGCATGAGCTTAAAATAGATTTCTTGACTATTAAATTCATGTTGGAAAATAATTCGCACTCGATTAAAAATGTTCAGTACATGCATAAATGAAGCACCAACCTATATTTTGAATCCGGATTATGCTCATGTGTATTTAAAGTAAAACTATTTAAATTCTTGAATTTCAGAACACCCAGGTCGACACCCATCCCTGCTGGATAAACTAATGGTAGCATTTCTACAATTACTGGAAACAACTGCAATCCTCATTCCAACCATCGTCATTGCAATCCAGCTCCACAATCCGTGCGCGCTACCATTTTTAGGATCATTATCACATTACTGCTCTAAAGGAATTTGGACTGCTCCGCCAGATTGGGTGCACGTTTTCATGCTCACCACCGACTTCTGGATCTGGCTACACTTCATATATGATGGCTCGTTCTACATAATTTACGCATTTATGGTCGGCATCGTTTGCATGGTGGATTATTTGGAGTACTTTGAAAAGTATGTATGATACATAGAGCATGTTCACGTCAAACTTCGCATATTTAACAAAATTAGCATATAGCAACAAGACTTGCAAAGTTTTTTTTTCAAAATTGGCTAACAAACTTTTGCCGGAAAATTATACAAACTTTGTTTTTAAAAAATTTACGCAACAATTTGACATGTTTTTATTGCAAAGATTATTTGGCAAACTCATCCTTTCTTTAAAATACTTTCGAAGCCTGAAATATTTAATTGCTTGGAGCGAAGTTAAAAGATGCGAAAATTGTTTGTATAGATTTGCAACAGTTGCGAATACCCTAATGCCACAGAAAATT